CTTCTGCAAAGGCAGAAGGCATCCTTGGTCTCAAGGAGCTCGCAGTCTAATGAGGGAGACAACCTACAAACCTCAACGTGTGATTGAGATCAAGCTATAGACAGGCTATATCGGAGTCGAGCAGCAGAGGGAAGGCACTCTAATTAAGGCAGAGCAGGAAGGCTTCCAACAGAAGGTGGAATTTTAGCTGGGACTCAAAGGAAGCCAGGGAAGCCAGGAGGTGGAAGATGAAGAGGGAAGGCATGCCAGGCACAGGGGACTGCCAGAGAACATGCTTGGAGTCCGGAGATAGAGAGCCTTGTTTGAGGCCAGTGTTGGTAGATTGCAGAGTATGTGGTGGGGGCTGAGGTATTAGATATAAGAAGGCTGAAAGGGGAAGGCACAGGTTATGAAGGGCTTTGAACACTCATCAAACTTTAAACACTAAACATAAGATTTTATATCTGATCCTGGAGGCAGTAGGGAGCCACAGGGGTTTATTGAAGGGGGGTGTTGATGGTGATGGTGGTGACACCATCAGATCTGTGCTTTGGGGAGATCACATTGACAGTTGGGAGAGACTGAGGCAGACCGAACAACCAGCTAGCTTGGGAGCTGTCGTGGTGTAAGAAGAAGAGGCTTCTCAATAGCCCAGGCTGGGGGCAGTGGCAGAGGGGAGAAGAGGGTGGATACAAGAATATTATCAAGGTAAAATCGACAGAAGTCAGCAGCAGATTAGATTCACAGGCTGAGAAAGTGGGTGAGAAAGGATGCCTCCTGGAAAGTGCTTTACAAACCTTTAAGGGCTATGTAAATGCTCTGGTTATTATTGTTATTATTCACTCATTCCTTCAGATCTGGAGCATTCTGCCTTCCAGTCCTGCCTTCCAGATTCCAGTGACTCTCTCTTCACTCTAGAGCAAAATACAATCTCCTTTGCCTGCCATCCCCGGGTCTGACATCATCAATAAAATATTTACAAGAAGATGTATAACAGGGGACCACCCGTTATATCATTTGGGTCCCTTTGTTTATAATTCACATCTTCACAATGATATGGGCTATATAAATATGTAGTAGACTGATGGTGTTTCATGACTCTGGCTGGGAAACTTTCCTCCCTACTACAGGAGACACTGGCTTAATAGACTAGAAGGTTTTATTTCTGTTTTTGTTTTAAAGCAGGTTCTGTTCTGATCTAAAAAAAGTCCCCCAGTTACACTTGGTTGGGGTGGAGAGATCATTGGCACCATCCCCCTCATTTTGCCGCTAAGGAAGATAAGATCCAGAGAGGGGAAGGGAGTTGTCTGAAGTCACACAGCAAGTGAGTGGCAAAGATAAAGCTGGGGCCCAGGTCTCATGACTCCGCCTCCATGCTGCCCCTTGGGTTTTCTTTTCTCCCATTGTGGAGGCGTGGCCCAAGGCTCATGTTCAATCTCCTGTCTTTCTGAAGCGCGGCCTTGGACTGTAAAACAGAGTCTGGGAAGTCTTTACCAAGCTGCCCCTACACCCTCATGTTATGAAAAGGGCAGAGAAAAGCAAATTAAAAAAAAATTAAAGGGATAGAACATGGTATTCTTAGACGAAGAGCAGGAACAAGGTATTTGCCTACCCCAAGAAAGTCTGGAAATTATCATCTCTGAGTGTGAGTTTGTATGGAAGGCTTCTAGCTCTCAAAATGACAATGCAGCTGAAGTATAACAGCTTAGCTAGCTGTAAGTCACAGAGCTCTGGTCTTAAAAACATACGCATTTACAAAAAGTCATTATTAAAAAGCATCCTCCCTTGCTCCTCCGTGAATATTGTGCCCTAGGAGGCTGCCCATATTTCTACCCTTAGTTCCAGCTCTGCTTAGACATTCTTCTCTTTGAGGAAAGCTTAATTTTGTAAGGATGTGGAACAGTTTTATAACTTACTCAATGGCATGTGGTGTTATAGAAAGAGCACTGAATTGGGAAATCAAAGACCTGGGTTCCATTTTGGCTCAGACAGAATAGGACTTATTAGCTGGGTGACCCGGGAAAGTCACTTCAGCTTCTTAGAGCAGGGGTTCTTAATGTGGGGTCCATGAACTTAATTATTTTTCTTTTGATAACTGCAGCTTCCTTTGCAATCATGAGATACAGTTAATAAAAAGATGACTCTGAGAAGGTATGCATAGGCTTCACCTCTACCAAAGGGGTCCAAGACTTGCAGAAAAGATTAAAAGCCATTTCCTTAGAACCTCAGTTATTTCACCTGAAAGCTGGGGGTAATAACACTTGACCCGTCCTTAACTTCCAGGACCACCACCATGGTTCAGTAAGATTCCTAGGGGTTGGGAATTCCCTCCAAAGGCAAATACCTATGCTGAGACTTTACCTTTGTCTACCAGCACTCATTTCTCCTCTATTACTTAGAAAACACCAAGACATACCCTTGGTGCTGGTGGTGTTAGAGAAGACTGGGTAGAGCCCTCCTGGGTGTCTGAGGTTGGTGGGGGCCATGGCAGTTCAGGGTGGATATGGAGTTAAGCAGTGGAAACCTTTGGAGTAGAATCCAGAGCAAGCCAGGAGGAACAGGGCAGCAAGGTTGAGGATGTGGGGGATGATCACAGGGCAGGCAGCCTCAGAGTTTAGCGACACAGGGAGTCAGTGATGAAAGCATGCCTGACTCCCTGTGAGTGTGTCTGAGTGGTCCATGACAGGGACCATGGATGAGATGGCCCTTTGCAAAGTGTGCAAATCTGAGGGATTACTTTTATCAGAATTATGAATATTCTGGAGACATGAAATGACCCCTGCCTTCAAGGGGATGTATCTTATTGGGAGAAAACAACCTGTAGACAGATAAGGACAGGGACTGGTCCTGTGAGTTCAGAGGGAGGAGTACTAGTCAATGTTAGTTATTATTGTTGTTGCTGTTATAATTTGCTCTCTCTATGCTGCCATGCTATGTTTTCTTGTTATTACTATTAATAATTGATTAAAAGAGAGCGGCCTCCACCAGTTCTGGCTACGGTCCCAATTTCTGTTCCCTCCCCTGAACCCACCTCGGCCCACCTGCTTCCTCCTTTTCGGGGAAAGGGAGGAAAGAAGGAAAAATATGATGGTCATAGTGAATGAGCAAGAGGGAAGCAAGAGGTGTTGGGAGTTACCTGTGCACACTGAGAATGTTGGGTACTGAATATAAAGGCAAGCTGAAGAAGTGGTGTTCACTGGAGAACCCTGTGCCAGATCAGACTGGCACACTCAGAGGTCTAGGGGGACCTGGAGTTGCTTCCCTCTTCTTGCCACTACACTCAACATCCTACAATTGCCTCATGAGTATCCCAGGTGACCTCCCCTCCCTGCACCCTCTGCCCTCCAGGGGCTGAGAGTGAGGCTAGCATCCAAAGTCAGTTTCTAAGTCCTTTTCATGTCTGACTTTCCGTGATTCCCTGATGATTACAGAGGGCTGAGGGCTTTCCCAAGACTCTGAGTCAGTGTCCTTGGCTCTGACTCCTTGCAGTCCACAGCTCAAGTGCAGGAAGAGCCAGGGGCCACTGCTACTTAATGGATGGCATGGGTGGAACAGAAATTCCTTGTAGCCTCTGGTTTTTTGTTATTGTTTTTTGCCTCTATCTGTATGGTACCTACACACAGCCATGTGCCTTTTTTTATTTTTAGGTCCCACTTGACCTATGTTGGGGAATTCCTAGTATGGAGATTCCTTCCACTGATGCACATTCACAACTCATCCACAACTTAGAATCTTAAGAATTCTCCAAGGTACTGATGAGTTAAGTGGCTTGCTCCGGGTCACTCAATCAGTATGCGTCAGAAGTAGGACTTGAACCCAGGTCTTTCTGACTCCAAGTTGAATGCTGCCTCAGACAGCCCTCTATAAATAATGTTATCAATTGTTATTATTATCCAGCATCTATCTGAAGGGGCCCTGTCCTGCCTTTGGAGGCAGCCATCCCATCCCACTTTTGGACAGCTCTGCTTATTAGGATGGTTATTTGGATACCCAGCCTCAATTCACCTTTTTGCTAGAAGAAGCCTTGCAAACCTCTCATTTGACATGTGAGAATTGAGGGTGGTGTAGGGAGGGAGTGACAAGCAGAGGACCCCGGAGCCTGATTTAGCTCCTGCCATGCTTCCTCGATGTGTGACCTTGGGCAAATTCCTTAATCTCCTTGATGCTGAGTTTCCTCCTATAAAAACGGAGAGCTGGGATTAGAGGGGATCCAAGTTTTCTTTCAGCCCTAGCTGCGGAGAGACACATTACAGCTTGATGTCAGAAATGTCCAGAGGCTTAGAGCAGCAGACCTATGTTCCCATGGTCCCTGCCACCATCTACCTCAAGAGTGATAGCAGTAATGACTGGAACTAATTTAATTGTAAAATACTAATGGCAGAGGAAGGGAAGGGGGTGTTAATGATAAATGTCATAATCATTTCATTAAAAAAAATTATGCTCTTAAATAGGATGCTGGTCTTGACAGTAAATCTCCCTTTAAAAACATCCACTTTAATAGCTGTACCCATGTCCTTTTACAGCATCTCCAGTGGGTGGTACATTGGGCCAGAGGGGGTGACACTGGATCTCTAGCATGCAGCCATGCAAAGTTCTAACTAAGGTCCCTGGTCCCTACAGGTGATGCTCACTGGCCTGGCTCTGTGCTCCAACATGCTGGTAATTGTTCCAGTCCTGAGAGTTTTCCCCATGGGAGTCCCTGCTCTTATCTCCCTATCAGAGAAAAGACAGAGGAGAGAGGAGGAAACTCTTGGTGGTCTCAGTGACAAGGTTAGAGGAATAAAGTTCTCTCTTCTTCTTTCTTCTTCTTTTCTATTCTTTACAGAGGTGTTGGAAAACACTCCTGTATCCTACCCTGCTCATGATGGATAATTGAGTTTTGGGGCAGGCAAGTCAAATGGAAAAATAATCGAGTTAGAGGTCTGAATTCTCTCTCTCCCCCCTCCCCATGACTGTAAGAAATCCAGTTTTAGTTACCAAAATTAAAAAACAGAAAAGAAGATGAAAACAGCAGTGGCCTTTTTTTTTGTAAATGAAGTTGGTGCTCCTGGCCCTCTCCTGGCAGACTGATTGTTTCTCCCCCAGTAGGGATTGGTGGTCCTGAGATATTCACATGTTCTTTCCCAGACCCCCCTCCCCACAGGCCTTTGGCATGCATTTATGAGAGGTGGGCTGAGCCTGGGAGGCTATCTGTGGTCAGAAAAAAGCTAAGGATGCATCCAGAATTGTATATGAATTTCTGCTGATCAGATTTCAGTCCTGTGTGGAGTTCTACATTGATGATGCCTTGTCCAAGTCCTGAGACAGCTGGTCATAGCTAGCATCTTCCTCCTTTAGACCAGTGTTGGGCATATCCAGCTGACCCTCCTCACTGAGCCCCCTGGTGACACTGTCATAAGATGGGGGGAAAGACATGGTCGATGCAGTTTCTGAGTTGTCTGCAAGCTCACTGTTTTCCTTTATCATGAATTCAATCAAGCCTTCATCTTCGGTGGCCCGCTCACATAGACGTTCACCAGCCTCATTTGGACATACAGTGGTGACCTGTCGTAGGGAGTGTTGCATGAGATAATTTCTGTAGGCCCTTTGTATGATGGCAGCAGACAGATTTTCCTGTTTTGATCTCAGAGTATTTGCAATTGGCTCATAGGAAACTTTAGAAGGATTAGCAGCCATGAACTTTTCCTCCATTTGTGCCTTGAGTGTGTCCATCTCCCCAGATTCTCCCAGTACTCTCTTGGTAAAGGTAAATAAGATGTCCAAGCAGTGAATCTTGTCCCCTGTGACCAAAGGCAGGTCCATCTGGATGAGTATATTCTGGTTGGGTTTTGGAATGCGCAGAGGTCCTGTCAGAGCATCTGCAAAATCTGAAAGGGCTGAAAATGTAATGAACTGAGTGGCCTCCGGGTCAAACTTCTCCCAGGTCTCATAGAACATGTCAAAATCATCCTCACTCAGTGGCTCTGTGCTCTCTTCTGTGGCCACATTGAAGTTCTCAAGGATGACAGCTATGTACATGTTGATGACGATAAGGAAGGAGATGATGATGTAACTGACAAAGAAGGCGATCCCTATCGTGGGATTACCACAGTTTCCTTTGGACTTAGTGGAGTTTTCTGAATCTGGGTCACAGTGCGGGGGCCCGGTGTTGAGGATGGGGCTGAGCAGCCCGTCCCAGCCAGCAGACGTGGTGATCTGGAAGAGGCAGAGCATGCTGTTGGCGAACGTCTGAAAGTTGAACATGTCGTCAATCCCGGCCTCCTGCCTCACGTAGGCGAAGTTGGCCATGCCGAAGATGGAGTAGATGAACATGACCAGGAAGAGCAGCAGGCCAATGTTGAAGAGGGCAGGGAGGGACATCATGAGGGCAAAGAGCAGCGTGCGGATCCCCTTGGCCGCTCGGATCAGCCGGAGGATGCGGCCGATGCGGGCCAGGCGGATGACTCTGAAGAGTGTGGGTGAGAAATAGCTTTCAAGAGACTTCATGATGCCTGAAAACACCAAGCCTTTAAAGGAAGCGAGGAGAGGGATTTTCAGTCTTTAGAATGCCAGGATCCAAATCCAAACAAGGACAACATCAACTGTCATCACTCAGTCAGTTCCTTGACTATTATTCTGCTTCCCTCCCTCCCTCCCTTCTTCCTTCTTTCCTTCCTTCCCTCCTTCTGTCCCTCCTCTCCTTCCCTCTTTCACTCCCTTCTTCCTTCTTTCCTTCCTTCCCTCCTTCCGTCCCTCCTCTCCTTCCCTCTTTCACTCCCTTCTTCACTTCCTCCCTCCCTCCTTCCTTCCTTCTTTTCTTCTTTCCTTCCTTCTCTCTAGTACAAGTCCCTGTGCATGGTGGATGCTAGATGAACGATTATTAACTGAACGGTTTCTTGAATTCTGCTAGATACATCTATTTACAACTTAGAAAGACATCAATGCCAAAGGGTATCATGGTGAACTTGGATGTAAGTTCTTGGAGAATTTGCTTAGCAACCATTGTCCAATGCTCTAGAAGCTCTTTTTTTTTTCTTGAAAATGACTGGGGGTGCGGGGAAGAATCCATTTGGGGCTAATGGAAGCTAGGGGAGACTGGTGAAATGAAGCCAGAGAGGGAAGCATGAAATATTTTCAGGTATTTTTCTCCTCTCTTTCTTCTCCCCACCCCAACCCCACCAGGAGAAATTCTAGAGGGAAAACAAGGAATTTTGACTTTTTTGTGTGGTCATGGTTAAAATCTGAACTTGAACTGGGGGAGATTTTTATATAACTGAACATCTGAACAAGTCAGGTCCCAGTTTTCCTTCCAACAGAAAAATATCTCTAGAACAAAGCCAGTAATTATGGCAATATATACAGAGGTTTCTCAACTGTCCCCAGAAAAACTCTCCAGAGAGGCTGAGACATGATCCCTGGTTTCTTGGATTCCATCTGGGAGGGACAGTTGCAAACATTGCTAATGTCTACACAGGCTGGTCTTTCTCTGCATTATACTTTAAATGAGGTCCAGCTGGAATGCCCATAGGAGTTCACTTCCCATAATGCATGGTGTCAAGAGAGCACTACTTATCAGGAGATATTCTTGGGACTATGTAGAACAGTCCTTTTTTATTTTAAAGGTGGGGTGGACTAGACTTGTAGCTTGATAGAAGGATTTTTCAGTGAGGAAGATCCCTCTACCAATGTAGATGGGCAAGTGCTCTGTGATGTGAGTTTCAGAGAGTTGCCTGGGACATTAAAAGGTGAAGTCACTTGCCCAAGATCACACAGCTGATATATGTCAGAGATGAGACTCGAACCCAGGACTTCCTGACTCTGAACCTCACTGTCTAACCATTCTCGTGCCATACAATTTGCTATAACCAACTCCAAAGCACTTGCTTCATCTAAGATGGCCCTACATTAGCTATGTCATCAAGAAGACTGTGATGGTAAGGACATGTGTGAGGGACCTTGAAGAGAGCCATGTGGCTTCTTGGGTGAATGTTGAAGTTCAAAGAAGCGTCACTTTGTGACTCCCTCATCAGTTTCTTAAGCAGCCCAGCTGCTAACTCCACCCAGACTGTCAGCCCAGGGCACCCCCTTCCTCCACATGATCACTTACTGGCCACTGAGAGGAGCACAACAATTAAATCAAAGATGTTCCATCCACTGGTGAAATAGTAATGTCTCAGGGCAATCGCCTTCAGGACACATTCTGCTGTGAAGATGGCAACGAAGAATTGGTTGATCCGGTTGAGGATTTTGGTCTTCTCATCACTCTGGTTATCTGTCTCTACCATCATGGTGATCATATTAAGGCAGATGAGGACCATGATGGCCACGTCGAAGGCTTGTCTGGTTACAATATCAAACACGAAGCCTTGGTATTTGTTCTGGGAAAAGGAGAAGGGTTCATGTTGGTCAGTCAAAAAGCATTTATTAAGTATGTAGTATGTGTTAATGAGATTTGGAAATGGGACATAGCTGGGTAAGGTAGGAATGAGGACATAACTAGAAATTCTGGTGCCTAAGACAAGCATCTCAAAATGCTTTTAGAGTGACATATTGTGTGTGTGTGTGTGTGTGTGTGTGTGTGTGTTGTATATTTGTGGAGGAAGGTGGAAGGAATGGGAACAGGGACAGAGGGAAAGACCTTGAACCTCAGGACATGAGGCATCTCCTATCACAGAGGAGACCCACCATCAGATAGCTTCCTATTTAATAGATTAGTCTAGTTAACTTGGTCCTACACTCAGTTGTATCTACTAAAGAGAAGTATTCTCTGTGCCCTGGAGCAAAGCTCTGGTTATCCTCCCCTGGACATGGGTCTGGGTAGAGGTTCTTTAGTTAATTTTACTTTTGGATTCCCCCTCTCTCCCTCCTTCACCTTCCATAGCCAATTGGCCTCCAAGTTGTACTGATTCTTCCATCATAGAATCTTTCCATTCCCATCATCACTACCTAATCTAGTCCTTTATTGTCTCCTACCTGGGTTATTGCCCTGGACTCCTAACTGCTCTCTGGCCTTCAGTTTCTCATCCTTCCAATCCATGGGGATTAGAAGTTGGTGTAGTAGAAATAAGGCTGGTTTTGGAGTCATCAGGTTGGGGTTTGAATCCTGGATCTGATACTTACAGTGTGACCTTAGGCAAGTCATTTTACCTTGTGAGACCTCCTTTTCCAGACTTCTAAAAAGAGGGGGTTGGATTAGATGACCTCTGAGTTTCCTTCCAGCTCTTTGTCTATTATCCTATGGTCCTATGACAAGGACTATATTAAATAATAATGACAACAGCAATATTGGCAACAGAAGAGATTGGAAAGGCCACTGAGAAGGAACTCGGTGGCCACTGTTATTGACGATCTAGTTCTTTCTTACACAATTGGGAACGCTCTGGAGTTCATGGAGCCCTGTGGGATTTTCTTTTTTATTTCCTTTGTTCATCTGAAGTTTTGCTGTCCTCAGTGGCTTCCTGTAGAGTTGGTTTATTTGGCCCATGGACCCACGATTGCAATCCAATATGGAAATTTCCTTCAGCAAAGCAGACCAGGAATAGCTCTGCAATTTAGAGTCTTAGGGAGTTCACTGGGGGCACTGAGAGGCTGTGACTTGACCAGGGTCACAAAACCAGTAGGTGTCAGAGGTGGGATTTGAACCGAGGTCTTCCTGGCTCCAAGATCTTCTAGCCACTATGCCATCCTGCTTCCCTGTAGATGGCTATTAAATTTACAAAAAAATATAAGATCATAAGAAATTCTGGGACTTACCAGAGGTCTTGGGATTGGTTTTTGAGGCTTCTTGGATCCTAGTTTTTTCATGGCATTATAATATTTCTTCTGTTCTTCAGTCATGAATATATCTTGACCACCTAAGTATAGGAATTAATGTTACCATTAGCAAAGAGGAAAAGCAAGACTGGCCAGCTGGACACCCACAAGGACAGCTCCCTCAAATTTCATAGACTCAAAGAATTTAGAATTGGAAAGGGTCTAAGACAGTTCCCAATCTAGGCTCTGGGCTCTCATAGAAAGTCATTCTTTTGGACAGTGACCATATTCAACTCCACTCTCCTCACCCAATGACACAAACCCCTAATCTCATCATCAGCTCCATCTCTAGGACCACAAGGCTATGTCCATCTGTAAATTCAAACTCTTTTTTCAAAATACTCATCACAGACAGCCAGGGGCCAGACCTTGTTAGGTGCAAACCTGTAGCCTGTTTCAAAGGCAGGTAAGAACACTCTTTATGTAGCCTTGGGATTTGTAGTCATACACAATAGAGCCTAAGGCAGCTGCCCATCCCACTTGCCTTTCAACCAGGCTGTCCCTAGCATCACATATTTGTGTTCAATCCTCATCCTAGACTGTAAGCTCTATGAGGGCAGAGACCACATCTTAGGCTAAACTTTAATCCCCTCCAGTACTTAGTACACACAATAAATACTTAATAACTGTTTTCTTGAGTGAATGAGTAAATCCCTGGGTAGAAGAGAAACAGGAGCCCAAAAGGTCCTTTCCTGGCCACCTCTACTCCCAGGCTGCCAGCACCTGGTCAGAGAGAAGGAATTCCATTAGCGTGTGAGCCCCTTGAGCATAAAGACTGTCTTTTGCTTTTCTTTGTATGCCCTGCAGTTAGCACAGTGCCCAGCACTTAGTTTGCACTGTTTGTTGGCTGTTGGAAACAGGACTCTTGCACCAATCTGGAAGGGCTGCAACTAGAGACTCAGAAAACCACAGACCAAGAGCACAGAAGCGCTCCCCTGGAGATTCAAGGAGACTTAACTTAAAACTGAAAAGAGACACTTATCTTTTTCTTTTGTTGATTGAAATTGTCAATTATGACTCCAACGAAGAGGTTCAGTGTGAAGAAGCCCCCGAAGATGATGAAGATGACAAAATACAGGTACATGTATACATTGGCCTCCCACTGGGGCTGCTCCTCTTGCTATGGCCAAACAGAGCAGAGGAAGCATCAGGAGTGGGGCTACAGGCTTGCATGGGCAAAGACAAACTGAATAGACATGGACCCAGGGGCATCTTCCAAGGGCTGGCTGCCCAAAGGCTCAGGTTTGCCCCAGGCCCAAAGATGGGCCTGGAATGGAAGCTCATGGCAGTCAATGAGAAAAGGTCATGAAAAGTTTGGATTGAAAAGTAACAAAGCACAAATGAGAGGCTATGATGACTGAGAGAGGAAACCTGAGCAGAATCTTGACTGGTGGCCATTGATAGGATTCTGGGGAGTCCCTGTGTCCATGGGGACACTGAGGAGTGTTCCTTTCCTTTCTGCTTCCATCAACAAAGTTAAAAGACGCCTTCAGATCTCGCTGCTCAATGAGCCAAACTCGCTGGAGGAGTAGGGAAAGGGTGCCAAGAAGGTGCCTTTCTCCAAACATCTTGCCCTACTGTCCTGATGTTGGGCCTGAAATTACCCCCCTTAAAGATTCATTCCTTTGTAAGGCATGGGCTTATCTAGGTCTCTGTCTTAAAATGCACATTGTCTTGGAGAGAGAGGAGAGACATGGTCAGCTTGTCACATCTTAGGCAGAATGATTATGTCATATAGATGCAAGGGAGGTGAGAGTTGGAAAATACCTTCACTCCTTCCTGCCTTCCCCCTCCCACCTCTTCATGGATACCTTCACCTCTAAGGCTCCCTTCCACCGGCTCTGTATTTATCTTTCCTGTACTGCTTTGTAGATGTTTTTTTGCCTCATTGGAATGTAAGCTTCTTGAGGGCAGGGACTATTTTCATTTTTTGTTTGTATCTCCAGCATTTAGCGTAGTGGCTACCACAAAGAAAGCATGTAAAACATGTTTGTTGACCGATTGATTGATTGCCTGAAAGGCTACCAATAATTTCATTACATTAAGTTAAGAATTGCTGTCTGTAATCTCTTTTCCAGGCCCACAACAGCCCTGGGAGGCCCTCCCACAGTCAGTCTCTAACCTCTCATCGGATGCCTTCCTCCTGTTTGGGAATGGGGAGGGGTGCCAAGAAAGGACAGAGGGAGCACTAGGGGTTGGGGACCCCTTTTCTGACCCCTTTTCTTGATTTGGCAAGGAGCTGGTGCTGGTGACAGGTGGTCACCTTTCCTCTCTATGGCAGATAGGAAGCACTTTTTTTTGGAGCTGGGAAGGAAGACAATTCCTGTCACCTAAGCCTCACTAATGGGAGAAATCTCCTGATTCACAATAATTTCTAGCATGCAGTCACTGCTTTTGCCTTCAGCTATGAAACAGGGGGATTATGATGTTGCTACAGCCTGAGAAAAATAATCTGAAGACATGAGGCCCCAAGGATTCTGTTGCAAGGTCACCGACCCACCTTCCGGGAATCCACAGCAGCATACATGATGTCCATCCACCCTTTAAACGTTGCCTGGAAATAAAGGGCAGATGGCAAATTGCAGCACGTGCCTGAAACCCCATTTTCAAACACTTTATATTGCTTATATCCCCATACAGTTGGCAGAGAGTTCTTACCTCATGTGCCTTCATGAACTAAACATTTTTGTATATATAACTGAAGGAGCTTCCAAGGCTCTCTTTGGCTTCCATAAATATGGTCGGGAGCCAGAAGCCTGGGTAGGGTAGGGGAGAAGGTTCCTAGAGATGTAGATAATCTATTTACATCTGAAACTGTGGGCAAATCAGTGAATTCAGCCATTCTGTGGGTCTTTGTGTAAGCATGGTATAGTGGAAAGAATGCTGGCTTGGGAATGTGGGCATCTGGGTTCAAATCCTGCCTCTGACAGTACCTGGGTGACCTTGGATTTGACACTTAAAATTTTGGGCCTCAGTTTCGTCTTCTGTAAAAACAAGGGTGTCAGACTAGATGAGCTTTGAGATCCTGTTCAGCTCTATATTTATGATTTAAATTCCAGATTTGTTATTTACAGCCTGTGTGACCTTAGTGGCACAGTGGATAGAGTGATGGGTTCAGAGTCAGGAAGAACTGAGTTTAAATCCAGCCTGAGACACTAACTAGCAATGTTGCCTCAGTTTCCTCCTTTGTTACATGGGGATAACAATAGCACCTACCTCCCAAGTGAAGACCAGATGAGATAATAACTATAAAGTGCTTGGCACAGGGCCTGGAACATGGTAGATATGTAATAAATGTTAGCTATTATTATTACTAACCTCTGTGGGCCTCGTTTCATCATCTATACAATGAGAGGACCGGACCAGATGATCTCCGAGGTCCCTTTCCATTCTGTGATCTAATGATTCTAGTTGATATCTGCCATATGTTTGATGGAGGGGAGGGGCCGATGTTTTACACTTCTATATTCTTATTTTACGGAATGTCATGGAATGAGACCGTGATGCAATCACAACATCTCAGGCTTGGCGTGGCTCATCATTCAAGCTGACTGATATCTGAACAAGAATCCCTCCTCTACTGTCCCTGACAAATAGCTCTCCAGCCTTCCTTGGAAGACTGCCAGCATTCTGGGCAGTGTTTTCCACTTTGGGGAAACTTTCCTTATAACCTGAATTTACACAGGTCAACATAAACAGTCAGTTTCCCATCACAGTCTTGTAGGTACTTGAGACAGTTATCACATCCTTCCCAACTCTTATCTCCTCTAGACTAAACATCCTTGGTTTCTTCAATGACTTTTCCTAAAACATGGCACCCAAATATGTCAGATATGTATGAACACTACAATGAGGCCATTGGCTCTCTTGCTGAAAACATATTGGTCCAAACACTGGAGTAGGGAACCCCCATTAAATAAACTTCCTCCATCAATGCAGAGCAACACCTGCTTTAAGACTCAAGTCTTTTAGGGTTGCTTGGATCGCTAAGAGTTTAAATGCTCTGCCTAAGGTCAAACAGCCAATATGTGTCAGAAGTGGGATTTGCACCCAAGTCTTTCTGACTCCAAGCCAGTTTCTCCAGCCACACTCTGCCATGTTGGTTCTTGTTCTGGACGTCATTCCTCTCTCAGTGCAACCTCAGGTTAGGTTGGCTCCTTTGGCCGCCATGCTATGCTGCTGATTCATATCGAGTTTGTAGATCTCTGACATTTAGCTGTAGGGCAGCTATCTTGGACTCATACCAACCTGCCCTTTATGCGTAGCTGTCACTTGATGCTGGAAGAAACATCAACACTGTCCACTCTCTGCAGTCATTGGAAAGTTTCTCCCGGAGAGGGAGTGGAAAAGTTTCCTTTAGATCCCAACTTGCTAGATGTGATAACCTTCCTTTCTTTGTTGTTCTTAATAGTAGCTCTTGTGGATAACAGTCAGTCTGTCATTGCTGGGGCTTTATTGTGATGATGATGGGGTGTCCTCAGTGAGGTTCTGTTCCTAGTGGGCTCCGCACCATTTCTTTTTCTGTAGGCTTCCCCAGTTTTTCTTGTGAGGCCCCTCTGCTCTGCTCAGCTGCCTTTTTTCCCTAATTAGTAGAGTTCTGCTTCTAATGTTCTAACGCCAACAGAATTTGCTGGCAGCTGTTGTCTGCAAGCTCTTAACTGGAAATCAAGCTGACAGGCTTCTCTCACCTCTGCTTTTCTCTCGGTTAGATGGTCCACTTTGATCCCTTGACCAGGGCCCCTCTGCTCCTGGCACATTACTGGGGCTTCTCAGAAAAGACAGACCGTCTGGGCAAGGCTCAGATATGATGTAGTCTGTGATAGGAGACTGTATAAATGGAACATTGACTGAAGGCACTGTTTTGAGGTGTCAGGTACCTTGGAAGCTGGTGCAGGAGGTGGAGTCAGTAGGCTATTTTCATGAGGGGTTGCTATCATACAGTCTGGTGGCCAGACTCTTGGCACGGCAGCCACTCCAGGACATAAACAACCATCACGGCTCCCCGTGTATGTTGAGGAGTTAGAATAAGCCCCAGAAGTCTTGGGGGATTATGCTCATGGGATCCTCTGTGTAGGTGTAGAGATCATGAGGCCATCCATTCAAGCTGGCCTTCTGTTGGAGATACGGCCACCATGTTTTGCAGGTACCTGTATATACCATTCTGAATAAATCCATATACCCCATGACTGAGTTGTCATACTATAACCCTAGTCCAGTGGTTATGTTTCATTTAGTGGATGGAGTGTAGTAGTCTGGTGTGTGAGGGGAGTAGCCCATCTACCCTGCTGGGAAGGTACAAAAATCTGCATCCTGAACTTGCTGCTGTGAATCAGGCCTATGAGGCATAGCTGGTGTGGAGGAGCTGTGTAATCTGCTGGCTGAAATAGTGCCAGGATGTGTGGGTTGAAGACATGTTTTGTGCAGTGGAGACAACTGTGGACTCAGAATCTGGAGAGTGTACACTCACTAACTGTGAAATAACACTAACCTCTTTGAACACCTGTGCCCAGCCTTCCCTTTAAAGTGGAGATAAAGACATTTGCTTCCTGTTCTTCAGAGGGGTTGAGATTTCAACATCGTGGGGAATGATCAGTGCAGAAACTCCTTTTGTTGATCAAGAACGATGCTGGGTTTGGAGTGAAAGGACATAGGTTCAAAGCCCAGTTCCACCATTGATTACATAGGTGTCCTTGGGTAAGTCATTTCTCTGTAGGCCTGTTTTCTTCTCTGTAAAATGAGGGTTGACAGGACTATAGAGCTAGAGCTAGAAAAGACTTTAGAGGCCAACCCCTTAATTGTATGGATGAGGAAACTGAGGACCAGAGAGGCTGAATGAATGGGTTGGACCAGATGGTCTTGACAGTCCTTTCTAGCTCCAGATCTATGATGCAGATATCCACCTCTTCTGTAGCTTTTTTGTCCTAGACAGATGCCTGGGTCACTGAGTGGATATAACCTGCCCGGGGTCCCACAACCTGCATGTCGGCAGCAGGACTTGAGTCTTCCTGACTCTAAGACCAGACAAACTGTATAAACCCTAAAATGCTATAAAATAATGTGAGTTGTTGGCATAATGCCACAGTTCCTAGGATGAGGCATTGACTTGATGGCAGTGGCATCTAGGAAAAGATAACATAGCAAAGTTTCATAGAATCACAAATTTAGAAGCAGACAGGACTAAAGAGATCATCTAGTCCAATCCTCTCCTTGTAAAGATGAATTAACTGAGGTACAAGGCCACACAGAGGTGGGATTCGGAACCAGGTCTTCTGACTCCAAACCTGCTGCTCTTTCCCCTGTACTTTGCCTGATCTCTTACTGATTATATTTAATTGGACTTAATTTAGTTTTCATTAATCCTTTGATTATTTTGTTGTAGCTGCAGACCTGGGATATTAATGCAGCAGATTCCTGAGGATTCAGTATTCCCATGGCAAGATGGGTGATGCCCACCCTGGGAAACATCTTTTGTACTGACCCATTGAGCAAGAATTATATGCTTTCTGTTCCCTAGCTTGCAACCCAGTGCCAACAAGGCAGCATAGGGAGCAGAAGCAAAGGATTCAAACAGAAGAAGTGGGAATCTGTAGGAGGAGGCATCCTTGTACGTATGGGGCGAATGGGGCAAAAGTTTTCTTTCTCATTTATTCTGTTCTGCTTTTTCTTTAAATGTCTTTTGCCGTGGACTAATAAACCTCTGGCTGGTTTAGTAAAACAGCATCAGCTCATGAGCTGAGGCTGTAAGTGAAAGCTGACTTAAATTATGCCTTTAACCTAGAAGAGTTTTCTATGCTTAGAATCTATAAAGACTAGTTAGACTGAGCTATCCACTCTAATGAATGGCATGAGCTTTACCTATGCATGGAATTCCTATCACAATGTCCATTTTTTCCTGCCATTCTTAGAGACAAACTGGAACTGGCAGAATGCTCAGTGGCATTCAGTTTATGCAAACTCTTGCTGCCTTTGGGCTTTGGAGTGCCATATTTCTATGACTCCTCCTTGGCCATCTCCTCTATCATATTATTCTCCCAATGACAAGAGAGAAGAGAACTTACCACCTGCAGAAGAGCAAGGTAACCTATTCCCACATTATTAAAGTTGACTTTCACAGTGTCCCAGAAGAGACCTGAACTATTCTGCTCATTACATTGGGTCTTGTTATTGGCAATCGACACATTCACAGGGGAGAAGTCTCCTAGGGTGATATTAATGCATCTGCCAAATTTTCCTGAAAAGAGATTCACTCCCATGATGCTGAAGATGAGCCAGAAGATAAGACAGACCAGAAGTACATTCATGATGGAAGGGATTGCACCAACCAGGGCATCTACAACCACCTGGAAATAAAAAAGGGGGAGAAAAGAGGAAGATGGAGAGAGAGAGAGAGTGGAGGGGGGGAAGGGAAGAGGGGTAAGAAGAGAGGGAGAGAGGAAAGGAAAGAGAGAGAGAGAGAAAGAGAGAGAGAGAGAGAGAGAGAGAGAGAGAGAGAGAGAGAGAGAGAGATGGAGAGAGACAGACAGACAGAGAGACGCAGAGAGAGAGGGAGAGAGAGAACAATGACTATAATTACTTATAAAATGGACAAGTTACAGAAAAATCGAGCTGATTGGACAATAGAATAATTTTCTGTCTTTGAACATGGTAAGACACTGGGATTGGACACTCAATGAGGTTGCAGAATTATTTTTCCTCAGAGTTTTTAGAAAAGTGATTGGGTTTCATTTGTTAGGAATAGATTCAAACTACTCCCCCTAGGACAAGAAATACCAAGGTCCAGCAGTGTGGTACAGTAGATACAGTACCACATCTGGAGTCAGGAAGACCAGGGTTCAAATCCTGTTGCAATCCATTTGTCAGCAATATGATTCTGGACAGATCAACTAACTTCTCTGAGCCTCAGTTTCCTTAATTATAAAAAAAAGATTACAATATGTATGTTACTCACTTCACAGGATTGTCGGGAGGCTCAAATGAGGAAATATATGTAAAGTATTTCACAAAGCTTCAAGCATGTAAATGTCAGTAATTAGTAAGAGGCAAGGATAGACAGTTTCATTGGCATGCTGAACACATGCACACACACACACAAGTGCACACACGTGCGCGCGTGCGCACGTGCTCTGGATCTTTCTTAGATACAATGAATCACAACATGGAATTTGGTGCTTAGCGGCCTTCTGGCTTCCAGCTAACCAAACAACAAAGCAGACACAAATGTAGCCATCATCACCAGCAACCGCAGCCACCATTTTTTCCTATAGTGTTTTTAGGTTTGAAAAGTGTTTTACTTGCATGCTCTCATTCAAACTTCACCAGAGTCCTGGAGGTGGCCACTATACATATTATTATGAATGAGAAAACTGAAGCACAGAAAAGTCAAGTGACTTGCTCATGGTGATACAGGCAACAAGTATCACAGTCGGGATCTGAACCCAGGTCCATCCTGACTCCACGTGCAGGATTCTCTCCACATTACCTGATTCCTCTCCAACACATTCTCACACAGATGCATGCCTGCCTCCTCATAGGTGAATAATAGACCCCACTCTAATACCTATAATTATAATTTTGATTATTCTTGCTACATATAGCTTTTATTATTGATAATTGTTGCAGAAATTCTGGAGGCAGGGCAGATGCACACATGCCCAGTAAAGTATATAATAGCTAGAAACCAGCCACTTTGGAAGTTTGGCACATAGGACCTGCCCAAGTAATCATCACTGCTGACACTTAGATAGTGTTTTGAGATTTGTAAAATGTTTTATGCAGTTTCTCATTTACATAGGGCTGCTTGATTCAATACTGGAAATATGATCAAATTAATTAAAAACCCTTTTATTTGATAAAAGTCAAAACTACAACTTCAGAAATAATTGAATTAATTAGAACTGCCCCTTCCCCCATTATTAAGATGAGGAAGGAGGACAATATTGTAGAAAGAACCACTAGGCCAGGAATTAGAAGGTATGAGCTTGAATCTTGGCTCTGCTCCCGAATACCTGTGTAACATTTGCAGGAACAAAGATGATGTGGTGAGAAAGTGTGGAGGAACGTTTGGGGTGGCAGCCAGCAGCTAGGTTTAGATGCATTGTCAGTTACGTGTGCACATAGAAAGTGCTTACCCGATGTTTGTTGGGTTAGATTGGGTCAGATGTAGAGAAGTAGGAGGTAAGACTGACTAGGGAGGGTGGGACTCACTAACACAGGGCCTTCAGGGCCAGGATGAGGCAACTGGAATTTGTCCTAATAAGGGAGACTTCCAGGAGCCAAGATGGAGGAGTAAAAAGGTAGTTGCTCTCACTCTTCCCTATCAACCTCTGAAAACCCAGAAAATATCACCCCAGAAAAAAGCCCTGGAACAGCTAAACTAGAAGAAAGACAGGAAGCAGCAGTGTAGCAGCCCAGCAAACAGGTCTCCCAGTGCCTCAGCAAAAACAAGGGAGGCAGAACTACAAGGGGCCCCAGGCGGATAAGTACCCTGCAGCATTCTGAAAGAAGCTGAAGAAAGCAACCTAGAGTCTTCCTAAAGCCCCGGACATGCTGGTTCCAGCCCAACACCAGGTGAGCTGTTGGAGCTCTGCAGCCTCCAATTGTGAAGAAATCCTGAAGCCCAGGTGGTACAGCAGGCAAACACCAACACCTGGACCTCCAAGTGCCTCAGTAAGGTTGGGGAAACTGGTGGGGGCCAGCTCGGAAAACCACCAGATGCCTCGGCACTCTACCTCAAAGGAATTTCCCAGTGCATTAGCAGAAATGAGGGAGGCAGCACTGCAAGGGCCCCAGGCAGATAAACACCCTCCAGCACCCATCTAAAAGGAGCTGAAAAAATCTAAAGGAAAGGAAAAGCAGGCAACCTAGAATTGCCTGAAAGTTCCAGCCTTGCTGATTCCAGCCCAACACAAGGTAAGCTGCCAGAACCCTACAGCCTCTAATTACCAACTTAAGAGGCCCCAGCACACAAAGCCAGTGACCAAGATCTAGGCTCCCAACACAAGAAGCTTGGGTCACTGCTCTCTGTTCCCCAGCAGGAGAGCTCAATCTCTTTAAAGGCCAGGGAATAAAGAAACACCATGAGTAAAAAGAAACATACCATAGATTGATATTATGAGAAGAGTGAAGATCAAGACAGAAATTCTGAAGAGGACAACATTGTCAACAAATCCACATCTGCAACATCAAAAGGGAATATGAACTGGTCTGAAGCCCAAAAAGCCTTTTTGGAAGAGCTCAAGAAGGATTTTAAAAGTCAAATGTGAGAGGTAGAAGAGTCCTTCAAAAATATGATTGGCCAATTGGAAAAAAGGTACACTGAAGAAAACAAGTCCCTAAAAAAACACAATTGGCCAATTGAAGAAGGAAGTACAAAAACTAACAGAAGCAACAGGGAGCTATAGAAGATTTCAGAGCAGAGGAGTAACGTGATTGGAGCTATACATTCCTGGGGTTTCTCTGCTGGCGCTGTATAAAATGTTTGGAGAAAGAACATTAGTTAGAAGGTGACTGAGAGAGAGCAGCTCTCATCTGTCTGGTGGGGCAATCTTGGATACGTACCTTAAGGTAAATACACAGGGGCCTTGATAAATGTCTGTGAATGGAAATTGACTATGATGTGGGTCCATTTTTGGAACCCCTTCAAAGGGCTCTTTTTTAGGGACCAGGAGGACCTGGCACTGCCTAGCCCCAAGAGTATTCACCTACAGAAAAAATGTAGGCACTGTCAACATCATAATAACTAGAATCTACACAGCATCTTAAGGTTCGTGGAATGCTTCACATACATTATCTCATCCGACTCTCATAACAACCCTGGGAGGTGGGTTCTTCTTATCTTCTTATCTCCATTTTGTAAACTGGGAAATTGAAGCTTGGACAGATCAAGTGATTTGCCCAGGATCACATAGCCAGTGGGTCCCTGAGGCTAGATTTGAACTCAGGTCTTCCTGACTCCAGGTCCAAGTACACCATGCAGCCTCTCGTTCACTGACCTCATTTTTTACAGGTAGATTGTTGGAGACACTTAAATGATATACCCAGACCTGGAGCTAAAAGTTCCATGAAACATGCAAACGTCTCAACTTGGGTGAAAAAAGCCACTCAACGGGTGAGAGTTCACTCAGCTGTGGTGTGAACTTTTATTCACATATTCATTTTAATTTACAAAAGGGCCTTTCCTGCTTGATGGGGATATCTGGACGGAGACTAAGAAATCCTTCTAAACATTTCCCAGTGGGATATCACTCCCTGTAGCAGAAATCAAGAGCAACTTATCCAGATTTAGACAAGTACCATTTCCTGTTTCAGACTTGTCCTGTGTCAATAAAGATACTCTGGAAAGATGCTGGATTTGGAGTCTGAGGGTCTGGGTTTGAACCCTAACTCTGTTTTTCTGTCTGTGTGACCTTGGGTCAGTCACTTGATTTCTATGGGGATCAATTTCCTTATCTGAAAAGTGAAGGGAGTTAAACCTGATGGTCTCTGAGGTCTGTTCCAGCTCTTAATTTGTGAACCTAGGGGAAAGGAAATGGTGGATTTCAAATGATTTGGAATGGAGATCATTTTTACAAATTTTACCATTTCAGCCTTACCCTCATGCCTTCAAATCGTGACAGTGCTCTCAGAGGTCTCAGTGCTCGGAGAGTCCGGAGGGATTTAATGGGACCGATATCAGAGTAGCCTAGTGTATTTGCTATGAGGCTTATCATTGAAACCTGAAAGAAGGTAGAAAAGTTACAGAAGATCATACTGTGAGAAAAACTGGTTCTTTGAAATAGTTTTCTTCATAAAGAGTTAAAAACAACCCCACAGAACTGCGAATGAGAGGGAATACAGTGGAAACCAAGCAGGGGTATGTTGGTAAATGTTTAACTGGTTCTTTGGGAAAAAATGTATCTGTACCACTTTTAATTCATTGTTAACTTTCCATCACTTTCTTATGTCTAGATAATCAAAAAACAAACAATCAAGCCTTAACTTGTAGCATTTGCTGATTCTTGAGGTATAAATGCTCACACCTCAATGTTCAACAATGGACTCCAACACATGCCTGGCCAAGGTAGGGCTCCAGAAAGGTCTCAACAGGGCTGAAACATTGGGCTGCGGCTAATCAAATGAAAGCTAAGAGGGACAGATGTAAGGTTGGACACTAGGGGTCCAATCAGAGGAGGAACAGAGAACAGACAGAGAACTGAAATTCAAGTTTTCATGGGTTCTTCTCGGTCAGATGCAAATCTGGCTGTCCCCACTGAGTGGATTCTCCCCCTACTCAGCTCCACTTCCTGGTTTCCTTCAAGTCCAAGCTAGCTCCTAGTCCCTCTTCCTGCTAAGGTTGGCTCCAAGTGCGTACGGTGTGGGTCATGCTTCTAGGTAGTTGTTTTTATGTTGTGTCTCCCACTAGAATGCAAACTCTGTGAGGGAAGAAAGCATTCTTGTCTTTTTTTTCACATCCTCAGTGCTTGGCACACTATCTGGTGCATATTAGGTGCTTAATAAATGCTCGTTGACTAGCCACTCAAGCTGGGAATCATCCAGGAGAGTGTGCCTGGGTAGGCAAGGGGAGGAAATCAGAATAGCCCATGAGAGAATCAGATGAACAGACTGAGGGTGTTTAACCTGCAGAAGAGAAAACTCAGAAGGGACTTGGTAGTTGTCTTCAATTTGTCTTGGGGAAGAAAGACCCTGGAAAACTCAGTGCACAAGTGCTGGATAGATGGACGATGCAGACAGGTAGAGTTAGTCTACCCGACAACTGGACCTCTCCAGACTTCTTGGTGGTCACTCTCCAGGGAGATTTCAAGTTTGGGTTGGACTACAGGTCCACTGAGGTCTCTAGCAATACTGAAAATCAAAGATTTTGTGATTCTTGTGGCCTGAAGCACCAGGCTGGACACATGGCAAATACTTTATAAATTCTCCTTTGATCTGGATTTTAAATCAGAGAGTCTATGTATGAATCCCATGTCTCACATATAATTGTATGGCCCTGGGCAAATCTTTTTTCCTCTCTGAACCTCAGTTTCTTCATCTGTAAAATGAGCTGGAGAAGAAATGGCAAAATGCTCCAATGTTTTTGCCAAGAAAACCCCAAATGGGGTCATCACGAGTCAGACACGACTGAGATGACTGAACAGCAACCAAAATGAAAGGGTTGGACCGGGGGTGTAAGGCCCCCTTCCAGCTGTGAATCCTGGAGTCTCAGCATTCCAGATGGATTCCAGATGGCAGGGTGCAAAACAATCCATGAACACGTCCGCTGGAGTTGCTTGCGTTCTTCCCAAACTTGGCTTGTTTAGCAGTCAACAAGAGTTCCAGTCCCTGGCCCAGGACTTTCTCAGCTCCCATGCCAGAGTTCTTTCTGCAGTCCTGGTGCCAATTTCCCACCCACATTTTCCGAAAGGAAAACATCCCACTCAGTAGCAGCACAGAACACCTCTTGTGATGTCTTTGTGCTTCACCCTGACATTTGAAGGCCTGTGGAAAGGCAAGAGAAAGCACTCATGGCTCTCAGTTCTCTCTGAATGAGGAAATGAGGCCCTGTGAGTTACAGACACTGCCTCAGCGCAAAGCCTGTTAGCCTCAGATGTTTCAAAGAGTTGCTAGGGTTCCTCATCTTATCCATCAGCCAGCTGCAGTCTCTCCTTTGTCCCTAGAGATGTGGTGGAGGCTAGTCCCCAGAAGTCTTGGAAAGGAGCCCCCTTAACTTGTAATTTTATCTCAGCAGCCTTTGTGTGCCACCCAACCATGGAAGAAGAGGGTCCAGGAGGGCCGTACTCACATCCACAATGAGGAAGTCCAGCCAGCACCAGGCATTGGTGAAGTATGTCTTGAAGCCGTAGGCCACCCACTTCAGCAGCATCTCAAGGATAAAGATGTAAGTGAACACCAGGTCAGAAAACTCCAGGATGGCTTTCAGTGTGTGCCTCTCATCCAGATAAATGTCTTCAAAAGCCTGGAATGAAGAGAGACAGATGATATGCCTACCCACATCATCACTAGGCAGAAAAGTGTCAAGAGATCCTAGCTCTTACCCTTTCCGATGGGCTTCTAAGATGGCACTGTTACTTTCTTTCTCTCCGTATGTGCACATATACATGTATACACACACGCATATATATGAATATACTGTACATACTTATCCATGTGTGGATACCCACACTCACACACATATGCATATACATACATGCATGCATACATACATGCATACATTTCAGTTCAGTTGCAAAATGGCCATTCTATCAGAACTGGGTGGGATAAATGCTTCCATTCAAACAATCAGGTGGAGCCCTGCAAGCAACAAGAAAAGGAGCCTTTCACAGGATCCAGGAATTCTTAACCTTGGGATTGTGAACTTGTTCTAAAAAAAAATTTTTTTTTTGGTGGATAACTATATCTGAATAGAATTTGTAATCCCATGTATTTTAATTGATGTATTTGAAACTATTATTCTGAGAAGGGGTCCACAGGCTTCATCAGATTACCCTAGGGGTTCCATGATGCAGAAAAGATCAACAGCTTTGCTAGGATCATAGATGAACAAAAGAGGAAACTGAGGAAGATGCAAGTGGCTTGTCCATGGTAATACAGGTATTAAGGGAAAGCAGAAGGTTTTGAACCCAAGTCTTTCGACTCCAAACCTAGTGCTCTTTCCATTGCACCAGGCTGCCTTTCTCAGGTTGTCTCAGACTGTGGAAATGAGCCAAAAGGAGTTTATTAAGAATTGTAGCCTGCTTAGATTTAATGGCAACCACTTCCAATATTTTGATGCTTGAATAAATTGGGGCTCTCACCAATGTGGATGTTCCTTCCACCAATGCAAATCTCAATCCATCCGTGCATTCCTATCCTATGCTCTTCTTATCTCTACTTTCTGTAATTCTCCTTATAAGGGCTTCAGCCCATGCGCTGGGGGAACTCCTTCTACTTGTCTGGACAATGAGGGGATTGATATTGATTGACTGCGTACTGGTCATCCCTCACTCTCACTATGGGACTAGCCCAATTTTCTTTTCTTTCTTTTGCTTTTTTTTTTTTAGTTCTACATTTTCTTATGAAAAAGGATTCTGGACTCATCGCAAATGTATGAGGAACATTGGGCATTGGTGAATGGCTCAGGTCCCCAGATAGCTACAACACCCCAGGGGGACAGTGGCTGTGTCCCAGAGTATTGGCAGGCTTCAGCATCAGGAGGAAAAGAGAAGGAGGAGAGGTAGAAAAAGAGTGAAGAAAGGTCTAGAGTTTGGGGGAACTTGGGTGCAAATCTGGTCCCCGGCACTTACTGTGGGATCCAGAGCAAGTCTTTGAATCTCTGGTTCAAGCAACTCTGAAGGACAGGAAATTCTGTCAGTTCTGGAGGAACTGCCAATCTGCCTCAGTACCCCCTCCTTACAACACACTGATGCAATCACAGGTCCCAACCAAGACAAATTGAAAAAAGGTTGACTATTTTCCACTCTGTTTCATGAATTCACACTCTTGCTTTCAACAGGCAATGAGGTGGTATAGTGAATAGAACACCGGGACTGGAGTCAGCAAGATCTGAATTCAAATTCTGCCTCGAATACTTACTGGTTGTGTGACTCTGGGCAAGTTAACTTATGTTTGCCTCAGTTTTCTCAACTGCAAAATTGCAATAATAATAGTACCTAAATTGCAAGCTTGTTGTAAGTATATAAAGTGCTCAACACAGTACATGGCACATGGTAGGTGATCAATAAATGCGTATTCCCTTCCCATCTTCTGGGTTAGAACGTAAGTTCTAGAAGGGCAGAAATTGTTTTGGCTTTGTCTTTATATCTACAGTTCTTAGGTCAGTGCCTGGCACAGTGTCCTTGCTCAATAAATGCTTGGTTATGAATTCAATCTGACTTCAGGAAACTGCTCTGTTCACCACACTGCCTCCCTTGCTCTCAGTTCAAACCTCCAATTACCAGGGCTCCACTGCTCAGCAGAATCATAAAGATGATAAAACTCTCAAACCAGTTGTGTTCCACAATACGGTAGCAGGTTTTCCTCAGGCTCCAGAAGAGAGATCCAGGAAACTTTCCTGTGTCTGCTGTGCAGCATGGACAGAGCCTAATGCAGTCTGGAAGAAGAGAAGCCATTGAAGTGGGACATACAACATGGTAGCCAGCCAATCTACCCATCTCCAACTTCCCACTCCATTACCCACAATCAAGATTCAGATACCCTGGCCACTATGCTTTAGGCAAGGGTTCTAGTGCCTTCCCAATTCTGCCTCTCATTATTCATTGGACCATAGCTATGGAGTTGGAAGGGACCCTTATTTTACAGATGAGGAAACTGAGGCCAAGAAAAAAGGGATGGTTAAGTAGCCAGGTCCTCTGACTCCAAATTCAGGGTTTCAAAAAAGATTTTTAGCAGTCTAGAGCATTGGACAGAATTGAATAAGATGAAATTAAAAAGGGATAAATGTAAGGTCTTAGACTTAGGTCCAACAAATTTACTTCATAAACATAAGAAGAGGAAGGCATGGTTTATCTAAAAAAGTTCTGGGGGTCTTAGTGGATTTCAAGGTCAATATGAGTCAAAGATGTGACATGGCTACTGAAATGCTGCTTTGATTTTGATTTCCGTTAAGAGAGGCATTTTCAGTCATTTTTTTTTTCAGTTATGTCTGACTGTGACCCCATTTGGGCTTTTCTTGGCAAAGATATTAGAGTAGTTTGCCATTCCCTTTTCTGGCTCATTTTACAGATGAGGTAAACTGAGTTAAGTGACTTGCCCAGGGCTATACAGCTAGTATTAGAGGCTAGATTTGAACTCAGGAAGCAGAGTCTTCCAGAGTCCAGCCACCTAGCTTCCCCAAGTTATGCCCTAAGAGAGAGATAGCTTCCAGAAATAAAAAGATGGTTCTTTGGTACTCTGCCCTAGCTGGACCATACCGGGAGTTATAAGCACCATGTTTTTGAGGACAATGCTAAGCATCCAGACAGCTAGTCTTGAGCTTGGGGATGGTGAGAACCAGTGGAAGGAAGTAGGGATGTTTAACCTGGAGAAGAGAGGCCTCAGGGTGGGACATGGGAGTTGGCTTCAAGTATTGGAAGGGTAGTCATGAGGAAGAGGAAATACTTTTGTTCTGCTGGGCCCCAGAGAGCAGAATGTAGAGTAATGGTGGAAAGCTGGAAAGAGGCCATTCAAATTTGATGTCAGGCAAAACAAAACCACTTCTTAAGGATTGGAGCTGACCCAAAGTAGAGTGTGCTGCTTCCAGTGGGAGGGCTTCAAACAAGGTGGATGACCATGTGTAGTGGATGACCTAGAGGATTGTTTTTAGGGATAGGTTGCATTATGTGACCTCTGAGGTCTTTTCCAACTCTCACAGAGTGGATTTATCTCCGTATCTCTCTGTCTCTGTCTCTGCCATCTCTTCTCTTGTCCTTTTCACCATCCCCCTTTCCCCAACCTGCCCTCCATCTCTGTCTTTTGCCTTGTGAGAAATTGAGAAGTCTTAACTCACGTCCCGGCATCTTCTTCTGGGTTTAGGACAGGTGTGGATTTATGACTTAGTGCTTATCTCTTCAGATGAATAATTGTATGCCTTATATTTCTCATATTATTATTAAGTGATCTGCTTTTATTAAATAGGAGTCATTATTGAGATAGTTCATTGTTGATGGGCTTATGATTCCCTTGATGGACCATATGCCTGGTATTTCAACTGCTGTTGAATCAATACGTTCATCACAGAGCTGTAAATTCCCTCATAGGTTATATTCTTTTAGTCTCTATTAAATACCTCTTCTGTGTCATTATTTTGTGGGCTAAACCTGCTAAGATGAAACCTAGGAGTTTGGACACCCCAACTGATTTGGGGGTGTGGCAGACTCAAGAACTGGAGAAAGTTGGGGGTTCCCTTCTTGCTAATTCTGTGTTCATGTACCTGGATTAGATTGGAAGCTTTCTGCATCCGTGTCACTTTCTAGATGATGCCCAACTTGGCACCAAGTAAGATTAGGAGAATAGGGGCTTTTTGATGGGAAGAAGGAAGCTGTTTGAAGGTATGTTTCTTACAGGTTTTCATTAACTTTCCCTCCATAACCTAGAAGAAACCCAAGTGAAGGATTGATCAAAGAGAAAAGACTAGCTCTGGGGCTAGCCAGGTACTCAAAGGAAACCAATTACTGACCCTCTGTGAAGCAATCCTTGGGCTCCTCCAAGATCTCTCTGAGATCCGTGATTTTCTTCAGTATTATCTCTGGATCAGGGATGTCCACAGTGCTGCCTTCAGAGCAACTCGTGACATCTCCTCTCTGTAGGACAGAAGCACAGCCTGGTGAATCTTATGCTTGCCTTATGGTCACAGGACACTGGATGATGAAGGCACCTCAGGCATTGCTAGCACATCTTGTTTGGGGAGAAACTGAGGCCCAGTCAGGGGAGGTGCCCTGCCCAGGGTCACACAGGCTGCGAGTGGCAGAGCCTAGACTCATTCTCACCAAGCTTTGATACTTACATCTCTTCAGTACCGTCTTGCCCCTACCCCACTGATTGGAGGGTGGGAGAACCGGGCAAAAACTCCTCCCAAAGCCCTCATTTAATGAGGACTCAGAAACCCAGACAACTGTTCATTTACCACCAGCTACACTGCTTGGATGGACTCCACCACCATCATGCACTTCTCCTAGGTATTTTTCCCTCCCTCCCTTTTCAGCTTCCTTTTGTGTCTATTAGATTGCAAGCTCCTTGAGGGCAGGGACTGTCTTTCTCTCTCCTATTTATGTACCCAGCACTTAGCACAGTGGTTAGCATATAGCAGGAGCTTTATAAACACTTGGTATTGATTTCCTCAGCAGAAGATCTGCCTTCTACATGAAGCCTTTCTGGATCTCCCCCCTCCCCCTCTCCAGCCAGCAACTAGACCTTCCACTCTAAGGTTGCCTTGTATCGACTTTGTATGGATCTTTAATATTGTTTTTGCTTCATGTATATGTATATCTTTATTCCTGTTACTATGCCTATTGTATGTATCTTTAACATACCCATTATTGTATATGTAATCTTTATACCATTAATATGTTTATTATTATATGTGTCTTTAATGTGTATATCTTTATACCATTGATAAGACTATTATTGTATCTTTAATATACTTATTATTATATATAGTTTTATACCATTGTCATGTCTATTATTGTTTATACCTTTAATATACTTATTATATATGAATAGCTGTATACCATTGTATCTTTAATTTATACATTATCATATATGTATATCTTTATACTTATAATTGTATCTTTAATGTGGTTATTATTATATATGGATATCTTGTGTATCTTTAATATGCCTATTTATTTACTGACCACCTCTCCCCCCATGTAGGACTCTTGAGGACAGGAGTCTCTTCATTTTTGTCATTCTCTCCCCATCATTTAACCCACATACCACAGACATTTTAATGAATGTCGATTGATTGATTCTTAGGTAAAAGAAAAGTGAAGTGAGGTAAAAGGAAAATGTCCAAACTTGATTACCATCCTCAGTTTCTCCTTGCTTGCGTCTCCAAAAGTCCAGCTTTCTCAGTGCATCCCCCTCCTGCACCATTCTTTCTCTCTCTCACTCTCCAAGCTCAGCTCTTGAATATATGCCAGCACCAAAACTCTGATGAGGCTCAAATCTGTTTTCTGTCTCTAAGGTAGACCAAAATCTCTTGGCCCTGGGCAACCCTGACTCTAGGGAAGGGCACGTTTTACCTGGTGCCCCTACTCAGTGAAGGAAAGCAGAGGGTTAAATAGCCTGGTGCTAGGCAGCCAAACTGGTCAGCCTTCAGCCCAATGCCATGGCATCCCGTGTTACCTCTGTGGGGCTGCCACCCAATTGGGTATCCTTCCACTGCTTATCCAGGTACAAGGCTAAATCTTCAGAAGACGTCTCAGACATGGGGTGATGGTGGTTCTCCTGGAGCCTTCCTTTTTCTTGCAGGGGGGCTTCCTAATGGGAGAGAAGCCCAGTGATCATCCATCTTCAGGGTCAGCCCTGTGGTTTGAAACCCCCAAGAAACTGGGTTTCAAATCCCCAGAGAAAGTTCTTATACGAAAACGATTTAAACAAATGTGAAGATAGAGGCCATTGCATGAGAGCTCTCAACAAACCATATCTTTCAAAGCTTCTCAGGTCATCACTCACACTTTCCTCTTTGACTTCTTTCATAAGGAAGACAAAGCTCATCTATTAGTGCCCAAGATGTTGTTCCCACTTACATAAGAAGTGGGCTGTGAAGTCGGCAGGTAGGTGAAAGGGGAGGACAGAAGAATTTGCCTTTACCCACCAACAGAACCTTGTTCTAGGCCTGATCCCTTTTTCTCCCCAGGCGTCTTCAATTTCCCCGTCCCCACTGATTTCTCCACATCTAACTTCAACATGCTCAAGTCAACTGAAACCTAAAAAAGATCCTTTTATATCAGCTTTGCTCCCATCCCATTCCTCTTGTTTCTTTCACTGACCAACTCCAGAGGGCTGCCAATCAAGGCTGGCCAGTAATGCCGAATATACGTAGCCCTCTTTATCAAGGGTGTAACCTATGATTCAGTGATTCTTGAAAAAGATGTCTCCACTTCTTCACTAGCCACTCTTTTCTCAGGGCCTTAGAATCTGACACTTCCTGCCCCATTCTGCATTACTTAAGACTTCTTAGTCACCAAATCCAATGGCTTTTTAGTTATATTGGGAGAAAAAGGAAGATTAAAGAAGAACTAGGACCTTTGCTTGGTTTGGACGAGACCACAGTAACTGACACTGGAGAGAAGGCCTAAGTGTCTTCACTTGTTTCTGTTTTCTCTTCAAAGGAGAATGACCTTTATATTGTAAATGGCAGGCCAAAAGGACTATGAACTGATCATTGTTATAAGGAAAGAGATAGTAAGAGCACACTTGGCTGCTCCTGGGTCAGATGAACCTTGTTCTTGTGTGTGAGAAGACCTGGCAGGTGTGATGGCTGAACCACTGCAATGGCCTCTGACAGCTCATGGACAACAGGAGATGCCATACAAGACCACAGAAAGGCAAACGTATTGATTTTCAAATAAAGGGGGAAGAGAACGAAGTCTTCAAGCTATAGGCCAGTAAGGACTTCAATTCCTGAGAAAATCCCAGCAAGAGTGCTTAAAGAGATGCTTGGTGAATACCTAGGAAGGGAAGCTGTTATTCCAAAGAACCAGCTTAGCTTCATCAAGAAGGAATCATGCCCAGCCAAACAAATTTTCTTTTTCTGATGGATTACTAACTAAATAAGTAGATGAAAGTGATGCTGTGGATATAGTTTACCCACATTTTCACAAGGGTTTTTTAAAATAAAGTAATAATAATAATAATGATAAATAACAATGACAATGGTAATAGTTAGCATTTATATAGTGCTTTAAGGTTAAGAAAACACTTTACAAATATTGTCTCATTTGTTCCTCACAAAAACCCTGGGAGGCAGGTACTATTATTATCTTCATTTTATAGATGAGAAAACTGAGGCAGACAGAGGTTAAGTGATTTGCCCAGATAGTAAATATCTGAGGCAGGATTTGAACTCGGGTCTTCTTGACTCTAGGTCCAGTATTCTCTCCTCTGCACCTCCTAGCTGCCTATCTCATGCTATTTTTGAAGAGATGATGGAGAGATGTGAATTCAACAATAGAACAGTAAGATGGATTCACAAATTGTTGGGTGTTCGTGGTCCATTATTGATGTGGCAGGAAGTCTCCAGTGCACTACCCCAGGATCTGTACATGGCCCTGTGCTGTCACATTTTTTATCAAATTTAGATAAAGGCACTGATGACATTTTAATCAGATATGCAGATCACAAAAACCTTAGGAGGAGAGTTAAAATAGTGGGTGACAAAAGTCAGGATCCAAACAGATTTTACCAGTCTAGAGCACTAGGCTGAATCTCATGAGATGAAACTTAATGGAGACAAGTGTAAAGGCTTCCCCTTGCATACCAAAGATCTGTTCCATAACTATAGGATAGGGGAGGCACAGATAGGTAGTAGTCATTCTGAAGAGGACCTGGGGGTTTTAGCAGACTACGAACTCAAGATGAATCAGCTGTGTGATGAAACAGCCCTGAAGTCTAACGAGATCTTGGAACTACAGTGGGAAGAGGCATTGACTCCAGTAAAAGGGAGGTGATGGTTCCACAACTCTCTGCCCTTGTCAGACCTCCTCATCAGGACTAGTGTGTCCAGGTTTTTTGCACCACAATTTAAGGATGACATTGATAAACTGAAGAGTTCCTAGAACACCACTGACCCACTTTTACAGCCCAGGACACCATGGGTGGAAATTGTGAAGAGACAGATTTAAACTTGCTGTCAGCAAAAAGCAAAATTAGCTCACAGTGCATGCTGTTCCAAAGCAGAGAGAGCAGGCTGTCTCTTGAGGGGGTGGCCCCTCCCTTCTTGGAGGCCTTCAAGCAGAGGCCAGCCAACTACTGGTTGGGTGGGTTAGAGTAGGGATCCCTTCCCGTATAGATAGGACTAAATAGCCCAAAAGGTCCTTGCCAACTCTCCAATTCTGGGATTCTGTAAGCCCTCTTGAGCCCTCTGGGGCATGTGCCCCCATCACCACTCCTTTCCTGTTGGAGACTCTCTCTTCCTTTGGCTATAGAGACCCAATACTTTCCTTCGACCTCTTCCCCTCTTTCCCTTAACCCAGATGATCCTTTCCTAATCCCTTATGGTAAATGATCTCTAAATGTAGCCACCTAGGTGGGGCAGTGGGAGAGTGCTGGATTCAAAAAGTCATGAATTCAAATCTTGCTGCAGACACTAGCTCTGATTTTGAGCAAGTCATTTATAACTTGTCTGCCTCAGTTTCCTCATTTGTTAATAGGAATAATGATAGCACTGACCTCCTCCCAAGGTTGTTGTTATGGCATATAAAAGCTCACTATCATTATTGTTATAATTATTATTATTATTATTACCCCCCCAAATGTCTGTCCTTCACCCTTTCCTCTACTCTCTCCTTTGGCAAACTCATTTGTTCTGTAAGCTTCAGCTCCCACCTTGACATAGGTGCCTCCCATATATCTCTCTGCCTTCCCTTTCCAAGCTTCAGATTCACAGATATGACTGCCTGCAGGTGACGCCATAGGTCCTATACTGTACAATGTTATCTTATTATATATTCCAAGCACCATGCTAGGTGTTGGAGATATCACAATAATGGTAACAGTAGTAGTTATAGGAATAATAACTCACATTTGCGTAGTGCTTTTAGGGTTTGTGAAACACTTTATAAATTATCTCATTTGCCTCACAACAACCCTGGTAGATAGGTTATTATTATTATTTTCATTTAACAGGTGAGGAAATGGAGGTAGATAGAAGCAAGTGACTTGCCAGGGTCACACAACTCTAGTCATTTATTGAGGCCATATTTGAACTCAGGTCTTGCTGACTCCAGCACTGTAACCATTGTACCCCTTAACTATATCTATATCTATATCTATATCTATATCTATATCTATATCTATATCTATATCTATATCTATATCTATATCTATATCTATATCTATATCTATATCTATATCTATATCTATATCTATATATCTATATCTATCCATATCCATATCCATATGTATATGTATATGTATATGTATATGTCTATGTCTATGTCTATGTCTATGTCCATGTCCATGTCCATGTCTATGTCTGTATCTGTATCTGTATCTATATCTATATCTATATCTATATCTATATCTATATCTATATCTATATCTATATCTATATCTATATCTATATCTATATCTATATCTATATCTATATCTATATCTATATCTATATCTATATCTATATCTATATCTATATTTATATCTATATCTATCTCTATCTCTATCTCTATATCTCCATATCCATATCCATATCTATATCTATCTATGTGAATTCCATGAATTCTTTTGGTACAGAAAGACATGGAGATTTCCCTCTCATCATTTTACAGATGCCCCAAATGAGAATTCTTCACCTGTTTTGGAGCCACTTCTAATGCCACATTTGGTTCCTCTTCCTCCTCCTCCTCCTCCTCCTCATCTTCGATATCAGATTCTGCCACCGCCATTGGGACTGAGATCTCCATGTTGCTGTTTACCATGACATTTCCAGGGTCATTGGTGGGGCACATGGTCAACTCCAAGGCCAGCCCATTGGGAGCTGGGTTATCTTTGATGCTGCCAACATTGGTGAGCACCTGGGCAGCCATGTGGTTTGGGGCTCCTGATTCGGAGAGGGCCATTTTTACCATCACCTTCTGCTTCTCTTCTTTGGCTTTTGAAGTCCTGAGCTTTCTGCCCCAAAAGTCCCGAATGGCCTGCACTATGAGATGCATGAACTTTTGGATCCTGGCCAGGGCTACCTGCAGGTTGTTCAGTTCTCCATCATCTTCTGAGGCTAGGTTGTCAGCACTGAAGGAATTCAGCAGCAAAGCAATGAACAAGTTGAGGACCTACAGATGAGGAAAGAGAAAAGAGAACTATCTGGACCACCATTTTCCAAGTCAGCCATGGATTTGTAGATTGTAGAACACGTTCCTTAGCTCTACAGTAATCTGGTGAGGGCAGCTACCATCTGAAAATGAGGCAAAATGGGAAAGGACACTAAAAAATAGTTAACATTTCTATAGTATTTACTATGTGCCAGGCACTGTCCTAAGTGCTTTACAAAGAGTATCTCATTTGATTCTCACTGCAATACTGGGAGGTAGGTACTATTATCATCCCCATTATACAACTGAGTAAGCTGAGGCAGACAGAGGGTAAATGACTTGTCCAGGATCACATAGCTAATAAGTATCTAAGGCTGGATTTGAACTCAGGACTTTATGATTTCAGGACCATGGTTCTATCCACTGTGCCACCTAGCTGATCATTCAAGGGTCTACTGACACAAGCTGAGGGAGCAGGCTGAGAGGACAGCTTTCCTGTCCTCTGTCTGGCCTGAATCACAGGGGACATCATGGTGCTGAGAAAAAACTTGTTACCATATCACACAGCACAATTGGTGTGAAATTTTGATTGTTTTCATGACTCTGCTGAGCAGCGGAGCCCTGGTGATTGGAGGTTTGGATTGAGAGCAAGGGAGGCAAAGAAGGCAGTGTGGTCCTGAAGACCTCAGATACTTCCCAGCTGTGTGACCCTAGGAAGCTTATTTACCCTCTGCCTGCCTGCCTCAGTTTCCTCATCCATAGGATGGGGAATAGTTATAGCACCTACCTCAGAGTCATTGTGAATATCACATTGGATAATATTGGTAAAGTACCTGGCAAAATCTAAAAGTGGGAAATCCTTTTAATTATTATCATCACATCAGGAATACTGTTCTTAATATTAAATACCACATTTTTAGGCTTGCAGGAAAATTGATTTCACTTGTAGAGAAGAAGGACCCAGGCAATGTGGATATACCCATATTTAAGGGGGACATTAAGGAAAAAACAGCAAAGAAGGAACTATTAGAGGAGTAGGAGAAGAACCGTGAAAGGCCAATATCTCCAAAGCCAAGATGTGAAAGAGTGTCAGGAAAGCAATCTGAAGTGTCTAAGGCCACCAAGAGGTTTCAGAGAATGGAGACAGAAGAACAGCCAGAGCAGTGGAAATACAGTCAGCTTTGGAGTCAGAGGATGTGGGTTTGAATGCAGCCCAGGGCTGGGCACATTATTTACCCCTATGGGCAGTGCTCTCCTCATCTATAAAAGGGAAAGAAGAAATGGTTGAAATCCTGGACATGAATATTTGTATAGAAAATCCAGAGAGTTGCTAGGACACCATTGAGCCAGCTTTGCAGCCCAGGAGATATGTTTACAAGGGAGGATGTGAACCCCCTTAAATGGGATCTGGCTACTTACCACCAGGTTCCCCAGCACCATCACCATTAAGAAGACGATGAGGCACATGTATATCCCAGACACTTCCATACAGTCCCACATGGTCTCGATCCATTCCCCGCAGAGGATTCGGAACACAATGAGAAAAGAATGGAAGAAGTCATGCATATGCCAACGAGGCAACTGCCCCGTGACTTCATTACGGAGCTTAACATAGTTCTCTCCAAACAGCTGCTTTCCAACCACAGCAAAGATGAAGACGATGATGGCTAGGATCAGGGTGAGGTTGCCCAAGGCTCCCACAGAGTTGCCAATGATCTTGATGAGATTGTTCAAGGTTGGCCAGGACTTGGCCAGCTTGAAGACCCTCAGCTGGGAAAAAGCAGAAACATAGTGGGGGTTAACTCAGTGTCATTATCATCTACTCAAATGCCCCCAAGTCTTCAATGAAGCCATTACCCTTGAGAGATAGCGGGCCGAGCAAGACTTTAACTTTGAGGGCTGGGACCAAATCTTTACAAGGCTTAGCTGTCATGAACCTCTGTGAGCCTCAGTTTCCTTGTTTGTCAAACGAAGATAACGATATCTGATAACACGAGAAAATGTATACAAAACTCTCTGAAAACTTCAGAGTGGCTTATTAGTGTCAGCTTTGCTGTGAATCAATTGATCGACCAAAAATCCATCAGTAAGCATTTATTAAGAGCCTACTATGAATCAGGTACTGCACTAAGCACTGGGGACACAAAAAGAGGCAAAAGACTGCCCCTGCCCTCAGGGAGCTTACAATCTGCTGGAGGAGACAACATGCAAACAAAAATATTCAAAGCAAAACATACACAGGATAAACAGGAAGCAGTTCAGAGAAGAAGGCACTGGGATTAAGAGGGGCTAGGGAAAGCTTCCTGGAGAAGACTATTCTGCAGCTGAAGTGTTTTTTAGAATGAATAACCTTCGGGCCCCTGCCTTTCCACTCTTATTTCACATCACTGCCCTTCACACACCCTCCCCTCTAGTCAATCTGGCAGCCGATTCCCTGGCTATGATATCCCACCTGTGTGCCCTGAACAGGGCATCCTTCGTAGTCCACATGCAGACCCTCCACCCTTCTGCCTCTTAGCATCCCATGTTCTTTCAGGGCCCAGCTCAGGCCCTGACTCCTTCTCGAGGCCTTTCCTTATTCTTCCCAGCGTCAGGCCTTGCTCTTCCTCTTAAGATTCCTTTGTATAACTTTGTGTGTATGTCATGTGCCCTCATCTGTGTGCATGCTCCTAGTGGGCAGAGATAATTCTGGCTTTGTGTTTATATTCCCAGCAACCAGAACAATGCCTTGCATAGAGGAGTCCTTTAATCAATGTCTGTTGTCAAGAATTCAGTCATTTTTTTTGAAAATGTCTCCTAGGCTTAGCTGGGCATATATGAGATCGAGTTCCCATGACTCCCAAGTTTCCATCATGTGGCTGGTGGCTTAGGGGCTAACAAGGGCTGGAGCCATGGGTTTCAGCCATTCTATGGGTCATCTGGCTGCTCTCTGTTCCGTGATCACCCTCCCCCACCCCGCAGCTCTCTTGTGAATATGGACCTTTGGGTACAAGGTTGTTGGGGGAGGGGAAGGCAGCTGGCCAGAGTTTATGGATGAGTCAAAGCAAACCCATCCCTCAGACTGGCAGAAACAATACAGAACCTCAAGCTTGGCTCCCTAGATGGCTATGGATCAGCAACTGGGGACCGCCGGGGACCTTAAATGGCGTTTAGCCTAAACCCCTTCTTTGCATCAGCATCCATCTATGAAGTGTCCTCTGGGTTCTGAGCGTTGTGCTGTGGCCTATAGAGACAAAGCCCAGCAGCCCCATTTCCTTGACAAAGCAAGGGAAGAGAGAAGAGCACTGGGTGTGGGCTCAGAGGGGACCCCAGCTCTGCCACTTTCTACTTGCATGGCCAAGAATAGGCCGGTCACTTTCCTTCACTAAGCCTCAGTTTCTTCATCTGCAAAATGAGGAGACTGGATAATGATGTCCTTTGTGAGGCCTTGAAGCTCTAAATGGATGATTCTAAGAAAATTAGACCCACAAATGCATCAATTGGAGAACAGCACTACAATGTGTGAGGTCAGGGAAGGGAGCTATTGATCTGTTTTGAACTTCTTATGCCTGAAGTTCCTCAATACTCCCTTAGGGCAATGAGGTGAGGTCTCAGAACAACAACGATGACAATGATGACGATGATGAAGATACCATTTCTGTACCATTTCTGTACCTTCTGGCTGATCCCCAAACCTTGCCACCTGCCTTCTGGTCATCTACCCGGACTAGGTCCATCAGTCTGGGTTCTGATCTCCTCTTGCCTGGAACCAAGCTCCCATGTCACTTTCTGGTCATTTCCAAACTATCCCAGCACAAGCACTATCTCTATCCCCTTCTAAATGTTGCCTTCCCCCATTAGAATGTAAGCCCATTGAGGACAGGGAATGTTGTGTTTGCTTGGATTATGTGTGGGCTCAGTGCTTAGCACAGTGCCTGGCATAAGTGCTTAATAGATGCTCCTTCGTTCATTCATTCACAGTACTTTAAGGTTCACAAACATTTGAGCCTCACCACAACCCTGGGAAGTAGGTAACAATGGTTACAACTTACTTATCTTACAACTTACAATCAGGAAACTGAGGCCCTGAGGAGATAAGTGACTTGCCGAGGGTCACATAGCTAGTACTTGTCAGAGGCAGGATTCAAACCCAGGTCTTCCTGACTGCTAGTTCAGAGTTCTTTCCATTGTCCAAATCTCTGTATCTGAACAGGCCCTGGAGCCCAAAGCTGCTGCAGAGCCTCCTGAGCTCCTTTCTGGGACCACTTGTCACAAGCACAACAGATTCAGGTCACACTCATGACCTTCCCTGGGGCCTGCCTTGCTCAGAGACCATCCTCTCTACTATGGGCTTGGAGGTCCTTCCAATCTCTTTAGTGGACCCATTTCACTTATTGGCAAATGACTTCTGTTGGGAGTTCCTAGCATCCTGATTTTTCCTGATGTTTTCTGATATCAGGACCTGGACAGCACCAAAAACAGGACCTTAAAACCTTCAGAACAACCCAGCTGGGGACTGCTTAACAGTCACTAGCTGTGTGGCCCCAAGGACGCTCCTCGATCTGTCTTAGACTCACCTAGAAAGAAGGGATGGTAGGATCTGCTGGAGACTAGCTGTCAAGGGTCTCTGAGGCCACTGAGCTCACCCCCCTCATTTGACAGACATGGGGCCCAGTCAGGTAAAGGCATCATCAAGGGCCTTGCAGATTGGAAGGGGAAGAATTCAGGTTTGAACCCAAGGTCTGACGCCCAGTCTTATGCCCATTCTATTTCCAAAGGTTGTTCTAAGGTAGGTGCTTTGAAAGCCTCAATCTGCTGCATAAATATGAACTGTTATTAGGAATATTCAGCATTTATAGTCTTCAAAGGAAGCTAGGTGGCACAGTGGACAGAGCACTGGGTTTGGAACCAGGAAGAGTCCCCTTCATGAGTTCAAATCTGGCTTCAGATACTTACTAGCTGTGTGACCTTGGGAAAGTCACTTCACCCTATTTGCCTCAGTTTCTTCATCTGCAAAAATGAGCTAGAGAAGGAAATGCAAACCACTCCAGTCTCTCTGCCAAGAAAACCCCAAATGGGGTCGTGAAGAGTCAGACACGACTGAGCCACAACGCGGGCTGCAAAGTGCTTTACAAATATGATTTCGCTGGTAATACTTGTTGGTTTATCATTTTAAATATCATTTATCAGTAGCATTGTTGTTCTCAGGGCCAGGACCCAAGTCAAAGTCACTCTTCCTACATTTCCAGCAATGAGAACTGCCACAGCGTGACGACAGACAAAGTACAAAGCTGAGTCTGAAGTAGCAGCTCCCCCTGCCTGAGGAAGGCCAGTGTCCACTTCCCTTAAAAGCCGAAGGCAGGAAGACAGTAGGCTCTGCTCCAGGTGGAGCTGCTGTCCTGGAAGGGAGTGTTGGGAGGAGGAGTCTCGTGCCATGAAAGGAGCATTTCAGGCACGGCTTGTAACTCATGCTCTGGCCCCTGAGTCTGGGAGGAGTTTGCCCCAAATCCTTCTGACTGAAGGGGAAGGAGCAGTTTCCTTGGTGGAAACCAACCAGCACCACCTTCCCACCTTCCCAATTTCCTTGGAAGGATCTCAGAACAATGGTAACGGCTGAAATGCAGCCTGGGTTCCATCTAAGCGGCCTCATCATCACAGACTTGCCCTGCCTGGTAAACTAACCCCTTACCAAGAGGGAAGCAGATAAGGCTTTAGCATACAAGGGCCCTTTGGGCAAAATGAAGATACAGATATGCTCATTTGTGCTTCCTTCCACTGGCTGTCTCACACAGAGACACATGTGGAAAGCCACCCATCAAGTGATACTACCTGGGTGGTAGTTGTTTCCTCCCCCAACCCTGGAAGCTTGCCTGCGGCTGATTCACATTCTACAAACAGCCACAGAATCACAGAACTTGAGAGTTGGGTGGGGCCTTAGCGGCCACTTAATCCACCCCATACATTTACCCACCCATAGAATAAGCTACCTCGTAAGGCATCATTCAGTCTTGCTGGAAGACTTCCCGAGAGAGGGTCCCCCCAACCCCTTCTCTCCACCCTCCTCACCTGGCCCTGCCCCAGGCAGCCCAGCCCACTCAGGGATAGCTCTAAAAGAGAGGAAGTTATTCTTGATCTCAAGCCTAGATCTCCCTCTCTGCAGCTCCCAGTGCTGCCTTCTGAGACCTAGCAGAACAAGATTAATCTTTTCTTCATCTTTTCTACATCATGTAGGCCTCTTTTGGGAGGTTGGTGGAGCCTTGGGACCCCTTCTCAGAACAATCGTTTTAAATGTATGAAATAAAATGCACAGGATTACAAAAACGACTTATTTTGGAATCATTCTCAACGTATTAAAACCAAATCCATGTATCCCATGTTAAGAACCCCTGATTTAGATGCCCTCATTTTATCTTTTTTAAAAAAATTAATTAATTTATTTTTGCTGAGGCAATCAGGGTGAAGTGACTTGCCCAGGGTCCCATAGTAGTGAGTATTGTGTCTGAGGCTGGATTTGAACTCAGGTCCTCCTGACTCTAGAGCCAGCACTCTATCCACTGTGCCACCTGGCTGCCCCTAGATGCCCTCATTTTAAAGATTAGAAAACTGAGCTTCAGCCAGGGCTCTATCATCTGTCAGGACCCAGTAGCACAGGCAGCATGGGACTCCAGGGCTCCAGGACTCTTTCCACTGAAGAGTCCTCCGTTGGACTTTCAAAGCCCTTTCCAACCTGGCTCCAGCCTCCCTTTTCAGAGAGAACAATATCACTGATAAATCATATTAAAAATCATAAACTCTCCTGGACGCACTCTACTTTCCAGTTCAAACGGCCTTCTCCTTGCTCCCCATCCACATCCCATCTCTTGTCTCTGGGCCCTGTCTGTACTCCAGGTCTGGACCACTCTCCTTCCTCCTGTCCACTGCTTAGAAATAAGCCCTGGCTTCCTTCAAAGCCCTGCTTGGGGTGCCACCTCCTACAGGAAGCTCTTTATGATTCTCCTTTCCCTTTAGCCTCATCCCCAAATACTTTGTATTTACTTTGTTGATATTTTGAATCTATGTGTATGTTGTATTTGGTAGGTTCCCTGCCTTCCTCAACTGCAGAGCAGCACAGACATCCTCTGCTTCCTTAGTTCTACGGGGATTATTTTAATTGATGGCTGAGCTGGAATTCCGTGATGGTGCAGTGAGTAGAGCCAGGAAGACCCCAGTTCAAACCCTACTTCAGACACTTTTATTAACTGTATGACCCTGGGCAAGTCATTTAACCTCTGTCTATCTCAGTTTCCTCAACTGTAAAATGGGAATAATAATAGTCCCTACTTCCAGGGTTGTGAAGTCCTTAGCATGGTGCTTGGCACGTAATGTTAGCTAGTATTGTGATTGTAGTCACCCCTCCCCCGTAGAGTGGAAGTTCTTTGAGGGCAGGGTCAATTTGTCGGGTTTTTCTTCCTTGTATACCCAGTGTCTGGAGCACAGTACATACATAATACAGGCTTGTTGAATTGACATGAGTTGAATAAAGGTGTGCTTCCCAAACTCCCTGAGAAGAGATCTTACCAGTCTGAAGGAACGGAGCACAGACAAGCTGGCTCGTTGGGGCAGACCCAGCTCCACCAGGCTCAAGGTGACAATGACGCTGTCAAAGATATTCCAAGGCCTTTGGAAGTAATAGTAGGGATGGAAGGCAATGAGCTTGAGTACCATCTCAGCAGTGAAAATCACTGTGAAGAACTGAGGAGGGAAAAGAGGTTTCAGCAACGCTGGATTCTAAGCCATGCTCCCTCTCGGGACAGAATAGAAAGCTGAGGGTGCGTTCCCCTAAATACCTGCCTGCTTATGCCCCCTTTTGGACCCACATGGTTACCAGGTGTAGACTCTTCACTTATAGCTTGGGAGACTGGCAGTGAGAATGACGGCTGTGGCCAGTTGACGAGGTGTGTGGTCTGGACCCACCCCTGCCGTTGATGGGCTGTGGGACTTTGGACAAATCACTTTCCCTCTCTGGTCCACTGATACATGCACACACATATGTATGTGTCTATTCATACACAGATACCCACACATGTTTATTCATGAGCATGTATGTTATGTGCACATATATTGTATAGATATACATACATATATCTATGTGTGTATACCTATATATACATATATATGTATATGTGTGTCTAAGGCAGCTAGAGTGCAGAACTTGGAGTCAGGAAGTCATAAGTTCAAATCCTGCCTCAGACACTAGCTGGGTAACCCTGGGCAAGTCACTTAACCTCAGTCTGCTTCAATTTCCTGGTCTGTAACATGGGGATAATACTGACACCTATTCCCTAGGTTGTTGTATGGATTGAATGAATTAACACACATAAATGCGTTATACAAATGCTGGTTATTATTGTGTACTTATGTATGTGTATATTTTTACATACATAATATGGGCATTAGTATAGAAGAGCCAAATGAAAGAAAGATTTGTTCTTAATGGGGACAAGGGTGGTGCCTCTAAATGTATCCATTTAAAGAAGCCATCATGAGTCACATCTATCCCCAGCCCACTACTAAACCTCCTTAACTCAAGTAATGAGAGCGTTGTTCCCATCTACACTGATAAAATACAGTAGAGGACAAATTCCTCTTGCCCTGCTCATGCCCTCCAGCCTGATGGGCCAGTTATTGAATTTGCGCCCCATTCTGAGTGCCTTGGCTGAGGAGATAGGGCTGGATAGCAACACTATCACCACCCCCAATAATAACAACAGCATCTATGAAGTCCTTTGCTCTGCAAAGTACATTACATACATTATTGTGTTTGGGAAATTGCTCCATGGTTTCCATGACCTCAGCCGGCTCACCGTCAAGGCTCTGGGCCGTGGAAGGCAATGATCACAGAAAAATGAAAACCAGTAGGAACTCAAAGGCCAATGCAGAGATGCAGGGGTGTAAGAGTGTTATCAATTATGTTGAAGCTTAAGAAGTGGAGCAAAAACGTGTGATTAGAAAGCAAAGTGAGGACGAGAGACAACAGATGATGGCTGAAGTGGCCTGGTGAGTTAAGAATTATGGATGAAAGCACCAAGAAGAGTGGGCAGTATGGACAGGTTGCAATCTGCCTCATTGGAGAAAGTGGCCGCATTACTGAAATCACAGATCACTCAGAGGAAACTGAGTACAAGGCAGGCAAAGCTATTTTTTCCTTATGCTGCGATGAATCTGACAGATGCATGCCAGGCTTGACTCCTTAGAGAAGCCCCACAGGATCCAGCGTAGCCACCAAGATAAGGTGGTTCAGCTTTTCTCTAGTCTTAAAATAACCAATCTTGGAGCCAGAAGAGACGTTAAAAGACATCTAGCTTAGTCTCTTGCCATCAGACTGATGACAAATTAATATACTCATATTGAGAGACAGGGCAACCAAGGCCTGTAGAGGTTAGATGACTCACCCAAGGTCACACAGTTAGCGGTAGAGAGAGAAAACTAAAACCCAGCTCGCCTTCTTGCTATCCAAAGAATCTTTTCAGTCACATGACACTGTCACTAGCCTCCTGGCACAAGCTGAATTTTGATGGTCCCTTTGTCTTCCTCCTTCCCAAGGTCAGCCCTATCACATCGGCCAAGGTCAGCCATTCCATACTGTCCCCATCCTTCTTCTAGCCACCTCAACCTGCCTACAAGCTAACTAAAGGTCTCCTCCAACCACCTGCCCCCAACATAACCTTTCCTCAGTGGAGGTTATTTCCATTCCTTCCATCAGCTGGAGTTTGGGGTTGCCCCCTTTCCCAACAGTTGGTAAATAGAAAAGATGATTTACTATATTGCCTATTTGGAGCATTGAAGAAAAGGATGAGGTCATATTATAGTGCTCCATAGACATGAACAGCGTGTTGATCACGATGCAGAGGGTGACGGCAAGCTCTGTGAAAGGGTCCATCACGATATTTGATATCAGATCTTTGAACTTCACCCAGGGCTCACAGCATTCCCAAATTAGATACTTCTGAGCAAAGCGGATCCAGCAAGGGGGGCATCTCTGCTCAGATTCTTCCAGTTCTAAATAATAAGATAAGAATCAACCCATGAGTGCTCGATTACATGTCAAGAGAAAGAACTTCTACCAAGCACAGAAACAGAAAGTAACTCAGAATCTCAGCTAGGAAGGACCTGATGAGGGCTTCCTATCTTCTAAAGAGCCCCAGGGATGGAAATTCCAAACATCCCTCTATCCCTGGCCTAGGGTTAAATCATGTCAATGTTTAGAAAGTCCCTCCCTATGTTTAACTGAATTCTCTCTTGCTGCTCTAATGAAGATTCCCAGCCCTCTCTGGAGATAAAACATTAGTGGGGTAGGAGTGAGTTGTAAAAATGTTTTAAGGATTTGATCAAGTTGCCCCTCAATCTTCTTGTATACAGGATAATCTAACCTAACTCTTTCAACTTTGCCCTGGAGAACTATTTCCATCCTTTAAAGCAACTCCATCGATCTTGTCTGGAATAGCTCTGGTTTATCTCCCTATTTAGTGCTCAGGAATCTCTTTTTGATGGGATCTCCAAAGTTCATTGACCCATCTCACTAAACTTGTCCTGAATTTCCTCCCACTTTATTGAAGTTAGATTTAACTCAGCCCATGAATAAATGTGAGGCTGTAGACTAGTCTTTGGGACTCTTTATCTCTGTACCACTCAAAGTTCTGTGGCCAGATTTTGTTCATTTGCAAAGATAGAAAAAAGGAAAAGGAAATAGGGTACTCCAGACAGTGTTCAAATTTCTGAGTTCACAATTATTTCTATGTAGAAACACTTGTAGAAAACCTAATCCTAACTCTAACTGTTCATTAACTGATTGATCATTTTACAGGTGAGGAAACTGAGGCACACATAAGTTAAGTGACTTTCCCCAGTTAGTAAGTTCAAGAAACAGGATTCGAACCCAAGTATTCCTGACTTCAAATCCACTGCCCTATTATTACACCTCTTGAAAAGGTCTAGATTACAAGTTCTTAACCTTTAAAATATTTTAATAACTATATTTTAATATAGTTATTACATATATTGTGTACATATGTATATACATATATATGTATATATACTATGTATATTTTATGACTTTAAAACCATGATTCTGAGAAGGGGTCTGTAGTGGACTTCACTACTCCCAAGTGAGCATGACAAATGTCTTCCGTTATCCTTTTGCCTCCTATACCCAAGGGGAGGAGGGATAGGAAACCATCCTCCATGCTCAAAGCTTTCCCAAATTTATATTTAAAAAATCTATTATTTCACCTTCTGAGAAACTTCTCTAAAACACCAGGCCAAGTAGTTAGGCATGATTTATTTTAGACTTTCCCCCAGACAGAAATATCCATCAGCCACAGCCTGGCCGTTGCTAACCCTGTCATGAACGTGGTAGAAGATCTGGTTAAAGAGTGAATGTCTGACAGGGGACCATATCCATTGTCACACCTCATGGGGGCTCAGTCTTCTTTTTCCTTGGGGATTTAGGGCTCCTGTTTCTGTCTTTGGGAGGACTTCCTTTCTATTGCCATTTTGGGACAGGTATATTTCATACTCCTAGCTCCTGACTGATTCAGTCACCCCAAAGCAGTTTCCCAAGATAAATCCAAGTAACTGAATGACAACAACTGACATTTATTTAGTGTTTTAAAGTCCATGAAACACTTTACACTCAGGTGAACCCCATGGACACCTTTTGAGGTAGATGCTATTATCATCTGGATTTGGCAGGTGTGGAAACTGAGGATCTGAGAAGGGTCAGGGACATGGCCCATGTTCTCACACAGCTGGCATAGGCCTGAGACAGGATTTGAGGGCCTGAACTTTCTGATTCCTTGTGTTGGCACTGGGGTGACCCTGGGTTCTCCAAAGTAACACCACTGGAGAGCAAGCTTTGGCTAACTCTGGTTCTACTGGGGACTTTCTGGCTCTGTTTTCTAGATTTCTAGCATTTGGGTTCTATTCTTACCACTGGCTATGGTCTCATCTACAATTCCCTAGTCCCAGTTCCCCCATCCCTTGGGCCCCAGTTGTCTAAGTAGCTCATCAAACCTTCCAGCCATCCTTACATGTTTCTCTTTGCCTGTGTATTAGGGCTGAGTGCCCTTCATGTCAGAACACTCAGTAGGAATTCTTATATCCAGGATATAAAAGCTGTACATTGAACACACATTATGCCCAAAGCCAGTGACACAAAGTCTGTCCCTCAGTTAATTTGAAGTCAGAAATGACATGAGAGGAAGCCCAATTATTTCTGGTAACAAAGTGTTAAGTTCTGTTGTTTCTCTGCTGAAGACTGTAGGTATGGTCAGGACCCTCCAAATTTGGTGCCCTAGGACAAAGGTCTGATCATCCAGCCTTAGCTATAGCTCTGCTCTTGTTCTAGAGCCCTGTTTTACTTCCAGATATAGTTCTAGGTTTTTTTCTCTACTTTTGTCTTGTCCCTTTTTTAGGGGGCTAGACCCATGATTTCCTGGATATAAGAAACTCCCAATAAGAAAATGCTTTCTCTCATTGTAGATTAACAGCTATTCTATAGCTTAAATTCTCAAGAGAGTTGTGGAGGTCCCTGAGAAGTTAAAGGACAATTGGCATGGCTCAGATATGGAATTTGAATCTGCCTTCCTAACTTTGAAGCCAGATCTTTATCCATCATACCATATTGTCTTGCTACTTTGCATATAGTAAGTACTTAATTTGTACTGGTTGAGTTGAATTAAATGGAAACCCCATTTCTCTTGTTCTATTCCCGTTACCCAACTCTGGGTCCTTATAGAGTTAGCTGTTCTAATGATTCATGCTGACATATTGCCTATGTGACACAGCTGTGGCCATAGTCAAGTATTTATAATATACCAGTATGGGCTGGTGGGGGTGGCTGGTGATTAACTTCCATAAAGATGTGAGATACAAGGCCACTAGGCATGAGGAGGAGACCCTGGCTAACTTTGGTGGATCTTAGCAAGGACTGTAACAAAACCAACAGGAGTGAATGTATTAAAGTGAAAGACAGTTTACCTTCGAGGACAGAAGTAATGATACTGACTACACTCACTGCCCTTTTCACTCTGAATGGTTCATCAAAATACTCTGCAGACAAGGTGTGGGCTGCCAACGAATTCTTCTTTTTGGCTTCCTCTGAAGTCTGTGGACACATGAAAGTGCAGTTAGGGATGAGCCATGCAGTAGGGCTCACCCAGCATCAGCTCTGATAAGGAAGGGTGATGGTTTGTCCTCTTTGAGGTGAGATGCAAATTGTTGGAGAGAGATGGAGAGGTGGCCAGTAGAACAGCGGCTCACACGATGTGGCAGCCAGGCTGTTGGGGATGTAGGGGCAGGGGCGGAAGGGGGGTTGGGGGGGGAGTTCTACTCTCTGCCCCTGCAGCAGCTTCTCCCTCTCATTGGATGGCTCTTCTTATAACCTCCATTTAAGGAGGGCACCCAGCCCTCCTATTCCTCTGCCATGCCCAGAGCCAGATACCTTTGTCTCCCTCCCCACTCTCCTTTCGGCTTCTTTTTATGTGTTGTCTTTGCCCATTAGAAGGTAAGCTCCATGAGGGCAGTGGCTGGTTTTCTTTTGACCTTTTTTTTTTATTCCCAGCATTTAGCACAGTGCTTGGCACACACTAAGCACTCAATAAATAGTTGTTGAGTTGACTGACTTGGAGATCATCCAGTGCAGTCCCTGTTGTAAAAAGCATCCCTGAAGTTCTTGGGAGTTTGGACTGGATGATTTCTGAGATCCCTTCCAACCCCATCTTTCTATGCTTTCCTTTGATTTTTACAAAAGAAATAATGCCCCAAGAGGGAAAGTGATTTCCACAAGGTCACACAACTGGTGAGTAGTGAACCCAGGACAAGAACTCAGGTGCTACTGCTCTAATTTTTATCCACTTTATCCACACTTACTATGACATGGTTTCCAGGACCCACTGACCTGGTGGACCCAAGACAAGTGGGGTACAGCCTGGGTAATTCACAAACTGGATGTTGAACTCCTGAGGAAATGTGAGTTATAGTTACTACTGAGGACACTCCAGGAAGTGAAACCAACACTATGGGGGGCCTCAGGATCAAGGAATGTGAAGCACAATTAAAGAAATTACAGATGATGAGCCAGAAGAAAAGATGGGGGTTCAGGTGGAGAGGCATATGAGATAGCCATCTTTAATTATCTAAAGGGCTGTTATGTGACAGGGATTTGACCTATCTTGTCTCTAGAAGAGAGAATCAGGGCCAATGGATGGAAGTTTCAAAGAGGCAAATTTAGATTTGATGGTGGGGAAAGCTTCCTAACAATTTGACAATTGTCCCAAAGTGTAATGAACCATCTGATTACACAGTGAGTTTCTCCCCTTCCCCCACCCAAACTCTTTAAGCAAAAGGAGATGGCCACTTGTTGGAGATGCTGGCTAGGGCATTCTCACTGAGGGTGGGGAGGGGCCAGATGGTCTCTGAAGTGCTGTCTCTCTCAAGGAGTTTTGAATTGTTCCATTCTGAATCCCAGATTGCACCAATATTGGTCTTCCCACTTACCATATCTACTTTTCCAGATGTTTCAGTCACCTCTGAGGATGTTACATTCCCAGAAGTGGGGTCTCCACCAAGCAAAGAGGGCTTCCCGTTGCATTCCCCAGGGTTGCTTGGCTCTTTGCTGTCCTTCCTGGAGGTGGGCATGGGAGGTTGAGATGAGGCAATCCTTTGGTTCTGCATGCTCATGCGCTGCCCCATATGTGACAAAAGCAAGGACCCCCGACGACTCTCATTCTCCTTATTGGTGATTTTCTCATCATCGGCAAAGACAGAGTCCGGACCATCTTGACTTTTGAGATTAAAGTTTCCATAGCTGTACCTTCTCTTGCCTGAATTGCCACTCGGACCATAGTTAATGCTAAGGAAAGACTGGGTACCACCCCCAGAGGAAAAAGAAGAAAGCCATATTTTTTTAAAAAATCTCACAGAATGACAGAGCCATCCCTAATTGAAATCGCCCTTTTCTCATTATTCCCTGGGAAAATCTTTTGCCCCTGACCATCAGCCCTTCTCCTGGTCTCAGACAATCTTCCCAGTAACTCCATTCTCCCATGTACTATTGTTCCAGGTTCCAATACCTCACAGCTCTACGGTTTTTGTGGGTGTGAGTGGTTGCCATCACTGCCACATAACGTTATGGTTTCTCTACAAAAGTGTGACTGCTGCCTGTCCTCAGTTATATTTCAACCCTAGCTACTTTGGAAGCACCTCCCAGAGTTGGAGCTCCATTTCAATTCCATTCACTTATTAAGTGTCTACTGTGTACAAGATGAGCGGCAGTGCAGTGTGGAGAAGAGGGAGCTGGCTTCAGAGCCAGGAAGACACCTATTCAAATCATTCCTCTGACCCATCTTGGCTATATGACCCTAGGCAAGTCCCTTAACCTCTCAGGGCCTTAGGCAACTCTTTGAGGCAATAAACTTTTAGATAAGCTGCCAATATGCATCTGTGAAGGTAGTTTCCCCACAAGGAAGTCCTTGTGCTATTAAAATCACACGTACAGACCAAAATGTGTAAGGAATTGTACTGCTAGGTGCTAGGGATACAAAACCAAACAGGAATTGGCATTCTGCTGAGGCTGGCCTCAAGGAACTTCCATTCAGGAGTCCAGGCTCTCCTCTGTGCCACAGTGAAGCACCAGAGACTAGTTATAGAGTTGGCAGGGATCAGAGAGACCACCAAATCCAGTCCACTGAGGCCCAGAGTATGGAAGGGACTTGTCCAAGGACATGAAGATGGTAAGAGGAAGACTTGGCTTTAGTGGAGTCTGGTTAAATACATTTCTAAAGTAAAATGGTAACTTTAATACCCCTGTGGGGTGCTTGTGTGTGTGCGTGTGTGCGTGTGCGCGTGTGCACGTGTGTGCATGCATGTGTGTGCGTGCACACGCGCATGTGCATGTGTGTTTGTGTGTATGCGCGCTTGTGTGTGTGTGTGTGTGTGTGTGTGTGTGTGTGTGTGTGGTGGGGGAGACAGAATTAGTTGAGTAGCTTATTGTTTGTCAAACATGGTTCTCCATTAAGTATGAGGAAAACTTTCCTAATTCCCAGTGGGGAGAGTACAGGATATTAGCAACTCAATTAAGATTGGATTAACCTAACTTTCACTTCTCGTTTCAGGCTATGGAATATCGGGCACAGCTCAGCCACTGGCCTGTCTGCCAAGGCCATCTGCAGCAATCAGGTGCCAAGTTTCAGTTTGTCAGGAAGAGAGGATCTGCAGCAAAACATCAGAAGAAAAGAGGCAGAGACTCCCAGCACCTCAGAGCTGAAGGACACACTCTGATGCCTAGCCTAGAACTGGAGAAAGTCAATATCAAAGGGTTCAGAGAAGTTATGGGCAGGGTCCTTTCTCCTAAAACTAGTTCTCCATGGAAAGTGAGCTCTCTCAAGGATGCATGACCAACGACAAAAACAAATTACTACAGGGCAGTCGAAAGGGGAGAATAATCTAGAGACTGTGTAGCTGCAGAAGGAACTCATCAACCAAGTCAAATTAAGCAAAGGTGGGTAATTGAGACAACTCTAGGTGATAAATGTCAAGAACAAGTGAAAGGGCTGCCGGAGGGAAGAAGAAGATCAAGGAAGGAATAGAACCACTGATCAAAGTGTATGGGACAATGGTAATGGAACACAGGATGAAAGTGGAACCACTCAACTTATATTCGATTCATTTCTTTTGCAAAGGTGAATGATTTTTGTATTGGAAAGAGAGCTGAAACCCTCAATGAACTCAAGTCACTAAGCCCAGCCAGATGACATCTTATGGAATGAAGAGAACTGGCAAATGTAATTACTGAGCTGTCAGAAATCTTTGAAGCACTATGTGGAGTGGATTTGGTGCGCAGGACTGGTGACAGGCAAACATTGCATTGATTTTTTTCCCCCTAACAATAGGTTGACATCTGCCAGCTCTTGACTGGTGAGCATGACTTTGATTCCTGGCAAGATTTTTAAATGCATCATTAAAATGATAGTTAGTAAACATATAGAAAATGAAGTGCTGATCACAAAGAGCCAACAGGGCATCACCCAGGACAGGTCATGTCAGATTAACCTCTTTTCCTCTTTAGATTGGGTTACTAGGAGGCGTCTGCTGGAGCAAGCTGGAACAGCTTAGGAGAACTGATGGAATGCTGTCAGGGCTTGATTTGTTGATTTGTTGAGGTCTAGACTTACAAAAGTGATGAAGAAAATGTTAATAATGCCAATTAAACCGTGCTTTTTTCTTCTTCTTCAGAGAGTTGGTTGTGAAATACTTACCAACACATTCCTGATTACTAGGTTGTTATGTTAGAGGAATGCTATAGATGTAGTTTATCTAGATTTTTAGTAAAGTATTTAACAAAGAATTTTACATACCAGGAAACCAAAGAGCATTGACACAATAGAACAATATTAGTGATTAAAAGTGATGGAATAATAATAAAAATGATCTCTAAAATTTGTATAGCACTTTAAGGTTTGCAAAGTGATAGATATACATGTGTATATATATGTATATACATACATATGTGTGTATACACACACATACATACAAATATATATATATATATATATATATATATATATATGTATGTATAATTTGATCTTCATAAGAACCGTGGGAAGTAGGTGCTATTATCATCCCCATTTTACACATAAAAACCTGAGGCTGAGAGATATTAAGTGACTTGTCTAGGGTCACATAGCTAGCTAGTAAGTGTCTGAAGTGGAATTAAAAATAGGACTTTATGACATCAATTCAGTGCTCTATCCCAGGGGTTCTCAATTTGTGTGTGTGTGTGTCATGGGCCCATTGGAATTCTGAGGAAGACTATGAACCCCTTCTCAGAATAAGGGTTTAAATAATTTTTTAAAACGCTAAATTTCAATTACAGGCTAGTGAAAATAGAGACACAATTTCCTCCCATCCAAATTCAAGGACTTCCTTAAATATAGCCATAAATTCCAAGTTAAGAATAACTTCCTTAGGGGGCAGAGACAACATGGCAGGGTGAAATCAGCATACTTGCCAAGCTGCCCCAACACACCACTCTACAACAACTTTTAAAAACGTGCCAAACCAAATTCTGAGTGGGAAAGTCAGCAAAAAGTCACAGTGAGTCATTACATCATTAATGGCAGCTAGGTGGAACAGTGGATAGAGTGTCAGGCCTGGAGTCAGAAAGACCTGAATTCAAATCCAGCCTCTGACACTTTATAGTTGTGTGACCCAGGGCAAGTTACTTTTAACCCTGTTTGCCTCAGTTTCCTCATATGTCAAATGAACTGGAGAAGGGAATGGCAAACTACTCTGGTATCTTTGCCAAGAAAACCCCAAATGGGTCATGAAGAGTCAGACACAATTGAAATAACTGAACAACAACCATCAGCTTAGGAAGTCAGAAAAAGAGGTCTACAGATACTGGGATGGGGGCTGGTTGACAGCATGGGATGACAGGAGCAGCACCACACTGTCTGTGGGCTGTGGTAGCCTCAATGGACACTAGGAATAGTCAAGTACCCAGAGGTCCATAAGGAGACTGAACACCTGTCAGAAAGAGATCCCAGGGCACTGATGTACCACTGGGAGCAGGGCCAGGTTCTATTTGTAAGCTTTGTCACCCATTAACCAACTCTGGATCACAATTTCAAAGAGAAGCAGTCCCAGTCACGTGAGAACAGGGGTCCTACATGTATAAGAATCAGAGCAGTATAAAAAGGGTAAACTCCAGTATGATATCATAAGCTGTATAACAAGGTTAAATGGCTTACATTCCTATATGGGATGATGATGCATGTAACCCTTAAGAATATTATCATCAGGCCTCATGATGGAAAATGCTATCCACAAAGAAGAGAGAACTATGGAGTTTGAATGCAGAATATTTGCTATTTGTTTTCTTCTGTTGTGTTTTGTTTCCTCTTTCTGGTGGTTCCTCCTATTGATTCTAATTCTTACTTACAACATCACTAATGTGAAAATATGTTTAATAGGAATGTATATGTATAGCCTATATCAGATTGCATGCCATCTTGGGGAGGGAGTGGAAAGGGAGCAGGAGAAAAATTTGAAACTCAAAAGTTTATGTAAGTGATTGTTGATAATTCAAAATAAATTAATTTGAAAAAGGAACATTATCATCATCAGGGCAATTAGAAGGAGTCTACTTAGAGGGTATGAGTGTAAGTCCATTATGCTGGGATAATCTCAAAAGAAGGGTAATAAAGAGGAATGCATTGAGAAAAGGGGAAAGAAAAAGGGAAATGGGGAATATTATCTCACATAAAAGAGGCATGCAAGGAAGAGTTTTATAGAGGGAGAAAATGAGAGGGGGAGCAGGCAATGCTTAAACTTCACTCTCATCTGAACTGGTTCAAGTAAGGAAATGTGTATGTACACACACACAGAGCATGAACACACAGAATTGGGTATAGAAATTCATCTTATCCAACAGGGAAGTAGGAGGAAAGGGGCTAAGAAAAAAGGGGTGAGACTGATAAGAGGGAGGGTAGATTAAGGGAGGCAGTGATTAAAAGTAAAACAGACTTTTGAGGAGAGGAAAAGATAGAAAAAAGAAGGATAAAGAGAAAAGAATAGAATGGAGGGGAAATCACCATTAGCAATCATAACTGTGAATATGAATGGGACAAATTCACCCATAAGATGGAAGAGGTTAGCAGAATGGATTAGAAACCAGAATCCAACAATATTTTGTTTACAAGAGACACACGTGAAGAAATTAAAATTATGCTATATCATTTAATAATTGATTCTACTCCATGAACAATCCTAGCCCCCATTTTGTCAAGCCCTATTATTCAGTTAAAAAATACAGTCTCTCCCAGTCCAGTTTGGCTTAAAGGGAATGATGTTTTCATACCCTT